AGTGGAGCTAAGACTAACAAGTAAAAGTTACAAGAAATTGAGTATTAATTAAAAAAAAAAAAAAAAGATAATTGGTTGTCCAGAAAAATATGGCATTGGATTTAGTCAATTATTTCTTCAGAGATGTTGAATTTCTACAGTGATTTGCCCCGTTGATACCTAGTCCCATCCTAGGTTTGACTCAGAAATCAAGAGGCTTAATTTTTAACTTCTAGGTGATGCCACTGTCACAATATCTCATCGATACACTCCCAAAGAGCAGCTGAAGAAACATACAATTCTTGCAGATATTGTGGTCTCTGCTGCAGGTAAGGACACCAGGGAGGGGACGGACAGGCATCAGCAGACAGACCTCTCCCCTCAGAGTTGGCCTCCTCACCGCCACCCCATTCCTTGTTACCCTGGGACAGCGATTTCCCACCGGTGCGCTGCAGGAAGTTTTAAAACATGCAACACGTGACCATTTAGTCAGGGGCACTGACCTCTTTTCCCTTAGTTTGTCAAATAAAAAAGTGACGACAGCCAGCATAACAATAGCCATCCAGAGTGAATGAATCAAAATTATACCTGCATTTTCATCAAATCAGCAAAAAATATATTTCTCGGTGTGCCATGGAATTTCAGTCATTAGTTTATGTGTGCCAGAAGATGAACAAGGTTGAAAACCACTGCCCTAGGACGACACTGTGAGTGACCTACAATATGAGGAAAGTGTTGTGGTTGGCATAGTGGTTTCTGTCATTTCATTGTAGACTAGATAGATGAATGTTATTTCTATAGCCTCAAAAGATTTCTATTTACTATATGAAGTTTAAGTGTTTCCTTGGTTAATGGTTCTTGTAGGGTTGGTTTGGTTTGGTTTTTTAAAGATTTTATTTATTTATTAGAGAGGGGGAAAGAGTGAGAAAGAGAGGGAGAGAGATGTCAATGTGCAGTTGCCTTGTGGTTGCCACTCACGTGCCCCCTACTGGAGACTTGGCCCACAACCCAGGCATGTGCTCTTACTGGGAATTGAACCAGCGACCCTTTGGTTCACAGGCCAGCACTCAATCCACTGAGCCACACCAGCCAGGGTTGTTCTTGTAGGTTTTTTATAAAACGAGCTAATTATTTCTTCCAGGTCTCTTGCAATTGAAATTACATAAGAATCTAACAGGCGGAATCTTCTTTTCCGTACTAAAATGATCATCCCTGTCTCCATTTCCAGGCATTCCAAATTTGATCACAGCAGATATGATCAAGGAAGGGGCAGCTGTCATTGATGTGGGAATAAATAGAGTTCTGGATCCTATTACTGCGAAACCCAAGTTAGTTGGAGATGTAGATTTTGAAGGTAAATAGTATAATTTTTTAAAAAATATAAAATCAACAAATACTACCTTTAATGGACATTTAGAATTGATCATTTACTTTTTCTTTAACTTTCAAACTTGTATTACCCTGGTAATACCGTTTAAAATGCTTTTTTCAGGGGTGGAGGAATTGAGGAAAAAAGGACCAAGCACTCATGGATGTGGACAACAGTGTTTCGATTGCTAGAGGGTGGGGGGTATCAGGTAATGGGAAAAAAGATAAACATATATTTTTAAAAAATGCTTTTCATTGACTTGGCGTGGTGAACACACAATACAGTATACAGGTGATATACTATAGAATTGTACACCTGAAACCTATGTAATTTTATGAACCAATGTCACTCCAGTAAATTCAATAAAAAATAAAATAAATCACAAAAAATATATAGCACTTTCACAGGTCCTCCCCCTGGCAGTGGGGCTGGGATTTGGTAGCTGGTGCTGAAAGAAAACCCTTGAGTGCGTCCTTGCCCTGGGACTGTGCCAGTGGCAGCTGTCACTCAATGGCACAGAGAAAAGTAAATACATTAAAAAAAATACTGAAAAGAATCATTGCTTAAAAGGATAAGATTCGTGTACCTGAAAAGATATTCTAACCTTTGGCTGTAAAGATCAATTTTCTGTGAAAAAGGGGAAAAATGCTTTCCATAAGAATTAAAAGAAATCTTTTTTTAAAAAAGGTAGACATTAGAATTATTTTAGGTGTTTCTATAATAAAATAATGGAGAACGGGTATAAACTTCTCAGGGAATTGTATTTCCGTGGAGTCATTTCATAATTAAAACAACTTATTGTTAAGACTTTTTAACATCTGAAAATTGAAGGAAATGATTTTCCTAAACCATTGAGTCTCCTAGAGAGTTCTACAGATTTCTCATTTTCACATTGAGAGGGGAGATCCCAGACCTGGAATGTTAAAACAATCCAGGAAAAAGCCATATTATTGAAACTTTGGAATTTGCTAGTAGATACCTCCTTTCAGTTCTTAATTATGTTTATCTGAGTTTTATGCTGATATCCCTATTTCTAGCTTTCTCTCTCTATTAAAGCTGTCAGAACCAAGCCTAAATATCTAAGTATTTTCTCTTTAAAATTGGGTTAAAAAAAATCTTGCTTCTTACTTCCTGAAAATTAGTTTGTTTGGTACTTTGGGCGAACAGTATAAATAAATATAGTAGATAAATAGAGTAAAATTAAGAAAATATTGTAGGTAGGTATTAATTGAGGCAATGCTTGTTATTATTTTTATAGGTATACCTCCCGTACAGTTAACCTATTGAGATGTTTCTTTTTTGATATGGAGGAAAAAGCGTGACTGGTAGATTACAGGTTATTTAGATGTATAAATATTCATCAAACGATTCTGCTTGTTATGTGCATGTTATTCTGTTATTATGTCCAAAAGCCTTTATTCCTGAGTTATTTGATGTGATATTTTTATGAGTTTGAGGCTTATGAAAGTGCTTTTGAATATTTTTGCTTTTTCTTTGAGTACTTCTTCCATGATATGTTAAAATACACACATTTCCTTTGTCAAAATTAAAGCAGTCTGCCTCTCTTGTTTCTGTACAGGAGTCCGGAAGAAAGCTGGTTACATCACTCCCGTCCCTGGAGGTGTTGGTCCCATGACAGTGGCGATGCTAATGAAAAATACCATTATTGCTGCAAAAAAGGTGCTGAGACTTGAAGAGCAGGAAGTACTGAAGCCTAAAGAGCGTGGAGTGGCGACTAATTAATTATTGTGTCTTCTGTGTCATGAACAGTACTCGAAGTCAGTTCAAGAGACAAAACAGACCAATAGAAATGCAGTATTTTTTATTTATTCTACTGACATGGTTTTATACGATGTTTTGTATTTATTGAAAGTTGAAATTAAACGGTGGGTGTTTGCACACAGAGGTCTTCAGTACCTTACCAGGGAGCACCCATTGTCAAGCTGGGTCATGTGACCTAGCCATAAGAGAAGCCATTAACTCAGTGATTGCCATGGGGGACATTGTCATTGAGAATGGCTGCTTAACTTGGTCAGGCCGCTTCAGTTACGATCTGCCTTTTCTAGGACTGCATTTCCCAAGTGCTATTCCAATAAAAGTTGATACTCACTTTAGGTTCCAAACCTTTTGAGTTCAGCTGGTCAAACCAAAGGAAAAAATGTTGCTAGAGAAAATTAGGGAAAAAGTAAGAAGGAAGAAATGATTGTACATGAGTGGAAAGGAATTTACCCTAATTTTGTACGTGTTGACTGATAACCAGAATAAAAGCTACATGTTAATAGTATCCTGTCATTTTATAGCTTAGTCAGTCTTCGGGAAAATGGCTATGGTTGTTCCATGTGCTGTTAGCTCTTGTTTTATATATGTTACCATTGATGAAGCCTCCCCATTTTAGTTTTCTGGGATCAAAAGGCTTACTTTATAAATTATTCATGTATATTATCCTATTTGGTTTTTCTTATAAACCTCATTGTTCAGTTTTTGTACTGTCGGGGTTACCTGTGTGGTTTCTTTGGTAGGTCTCGAAACCTGTTTTTGAAAAGCAAAACTTGGGCTTGATGATCATCAGGGCAGCTTGTATAAGTATGCAACTTACTTTTCCACCAAAGAATTGTCAGCAGCTGCCTGCTTTTCTCAGATGCACCTATTTATTGGCTTTCCCCAATCAGTTTTTGAGACCTTGCGTTAATATTGAATTTCATCTGACTTTCTGATTAAAGATTTTTGTTTGTTTGTTTTAATAAAACACTTCTGACTGGTATGATATGAGTTTCTGAAATACTTCCCTGCTGTTGTATCATCTTAGTTGTGACCTAACCATAGTTAATTTTTCTCATTGGATAAAATTGATCTAGCTATTTCTTTATTTGGTAATACCCACACCTATGTCTTAAACAAGATGGTTTAAAGAGCTGTGGAGAAACCAGCCTAGTCCATTTAGTCTTATATCACAAGATATAATGGACTCTCTCTTTCCCTCCTTCCCTCTGTGTGTGTGTGTGTGTGTGTGTGTGTAAACATTTTTTAAATTTGTGTGTGTGTTTGAGGTGACAGATTGGAAGGAATTGGCTGTGCGCATTTCGAGGCTGGGGTAGGCCCCTGTGTCTTCCCCACCAGGACTGGGTAGTTTGGCTCTCACACAGGCAGAAGCTGCTCCAGTTGCAGGCAACTTGGGGCAGACAGAGAAAGGAGAACAATGAGGAGGTGACCTATTCCCTCCTGTTCCTCTGCCAGCTGACTTTATTCGGATAATTTTCTGGACATGAAAGAAGATGACAGTTTGCTGGAGATGTTTCTGTAAGTGAGATGGAGCTGGTGTCCATCAGCCAGCCTGCTGACTTACCTCAATTATTAAACATGGAGCAAGATGAGCAGACAGGATTACATTTTATTGAATTGTAGTTACAAGTGGAAAAAAGTACTGACCTCTACTGCACAGAGAAATAATATGTCAACCTGTTAAAGGCTATCAAAATTAAAATGTTCATGTATATACAAAACATAAATGACATATAAGATGAAAATTCCAGTGATCAATTTACAACAAAAATAAATTGTTTTTCAGCTTGTTTGATTAATCAAGCACTTTTACTCCTGAATCCATAACATTTCTACAATTTAATTTGGACAAAGTGCTATTGAAAGTTAGCCAAGATTTAAGAGTGAAATGTTAAGGGTAGATTGTTAGCTCTCCCAGGACTGGTCTAGATGAAGATGAAGAGTTTATGCTTAAACTCAGGCGATGGCTCTGGATTAGTGAGCAGCTAAGTAATTCTGCTGCTGTCAGCAGTGGCAGAGGTATAGGGCTTTACTTCTTGGCAGAATCCCTTGAAAGGAAGCTCGGAGATTTAATTTAAAAATTAAGAGACTTCTATGGACCAGTACTAAGCTTTGGGAATTACAGAGACATTTAACTCTTCTGGTACTCAAGGTGTTAATCTAGTGTCATCGGTCTTTTAAAAAATAGGAAGCAATAAAGAAAAAGCACCTGCGTTTGTCATCTCGAGTAAATGTAACTCTAACCAAAGTGATTAACTCAAGATTCAAATCCTTAGTTGTTTTATGTCAGATGCATTGTGGCTGTGAGGCACATAGCAGTTGCTAAATAAACATGGTTGAGGTTTGTTAAACATGGATTGAAGATGAAAGATTGATCTTGTTTTATGAGGAAAGGGTTTGCTTCATTAATTACAGGTTTTAATCTATCCAACTTGCTTTCAGTCATTCCTTTAAAGTACTAGTCTAATATTACAAAGTTATAATCTTCCAGAATTTGACATCAGGTTTGCCTGGCATGCAATGTTCATGTGAATGGGAGTTTGACTTTGGGAATCAGGCCATTGAAAACTTGCAGGAAGTACTACCTACATGCCCAGAAATTGGATCCTGGGAATGGAAAACCGTGATATTAATGCAAAGGATCACTTTATTGATTTAATGTGGTTTCAGATTTTACACTAATAATCATTTTAAAAACATCTACTCAAATTGTTGGTTCTTTAACAGACGTTGAAACTGGCTTTTCAGTCTGGGAGAGCACCAGTCACACTTCTGTGCCAGAGCAAGGCCCATAATGCTGACAGGCCAAACTCTTCCTACATCCTTAGCAAATGGAATGAGATGGAGAGAACAGACAGGACCTTTAAGCATTTCCTAATATGCAAAATTGCAAGACAAATTCTTTCAACCTTGCTCTATTGAAGTAAGAGTATTTTAATTGTTCTTTCAAAATCATCTAGACACTTCAAAAACATTCTCAACTGATAATTTATTTTAAATAAAAATGGACTATTGCCCCTTTACCTTAACTATGGTTTTGGGAGGTAAGCATTTTTTTTTTTCATTTCAAAAGAAAGGTTATAATTTCTATGCTGGACTGCATTTTAAAATAAGATATAACATTTTGCTTTATTTCATAACTACAAAGGGAAGGGGAAGAGCTTTGCACCTAAGTAGTACTTTACACTGACAGATCTCCAGTTTTCTATCAAGCAGAATAATGGATCTGTGTGGTAAATAAGGAAACAGGCTCAGAAAAGTCCAGTGTTGTGGCCCAGACCCCTACAATGGAGACTGAACCGTGCCCTCGCTCTGTGCCCCATCTGCGGATGCTGTGTCCTAGAGGGTGGTCTCACCGTCAGCTTCTCTTCCAAACATGTCCGTGTCTGTAAAGTCACACTCTGGCTCCATCTCTATCTTCACCTGTGGCACCATGAACACTGGGCTCTGTGAGTAGTTGAAAGCAGGTGAAGCTGGACAGGAAATTTTGAAGTGCAAGGTGATGCTGGACGAGAAAAAGGAGGGGAGCATGTTTTATCTAGTGTTTGGTCTCTTCTGTGCTATCCCCCAGAGCAGGGCTCTAAATGCAAGTAGGTCTGTCTTTGCCTAGGAAATCTTAACACATCACAGGAACTAGCAATAGCCTATCTGCTTGGTCTTCGGCTGTAATCAGTACTGTTCTTGTCCTGTTTCACCCTATTGTTCATATTGCTGCCAAAGTGAACTTTCTGGATCACAAACCTCTCTGGTTCCCCTGCCTAAGTTTTCCTATGGTTTCCCACTGTTCAAAACACAGTCTCCCAGCTCCGTAGCGCGGCAGGCTCCTGTGCCCACGCTCCTGTTTACTCATAGTGTGACTGCTCCATCCACCCTTGTGTTCTTTGCCCTGAGTGTGTGGTCTGTTTTCAAATGGTATTTCCAGCCTATTCTCGTGGCCTGAAATGCCCATTTCTCCCTCCGCGCTCTCCACTCCTGTCTGTCATTCCTAGGTGGTCCAGACTAGGCAAATCATCCCTTAGACCTCTGTTGTTTCTCTTACTTGTGCTCCATTGTTCTTGGCACAAGGTGCTGGGTGTCCTCGTTCACGTGCCCGTCTTTCTGTAACCCCAGGGATTAAGCCTCTGCCTGGGAGATCATGATGCTTAAGCGTTGTTAAACTACATCATGTCGCTAAGCCTTTTTCTTTACAGAAACGGAATCCTGCTGCTTAGTGGTCTCTGCTTCCATCTGCTTTCACAGATTTGGTAAAACACTGGTGCAGCTGGGAGGTGCCACTGCCAGTTACTAAATCTGCTGCTGTTCTGACCTTGTCCCACGCTTTGCGTCATTTAACAGCGTTTTTTAAATGCCCTGTCTTGGTCCAAATTCTCTCTCCACTGACTGAAATTGGCATAATTAGAGATTCAATTTAGTGTAGGCTACTTTAAAATGAAAAGTCAGGATAGACAGACTGCTTTTTCCCTTAACACATTTACATATAAAGGTGGGTGACTTTAAGGGTGTAAGAGCCTTGGTTGGGGAGGTGGGAAGAGAAGGCAGGCAGAGGCGTCATCGGGACACAGGATGCTCCTGGGCTACAGCAGCCTTGGGCTCGCTGCCTGGGCGGCCTGTGCTGGTGATGAGCATCTCCTCATCCCGGCGTGTGATAACAGCTCTGACTTACAACTCAGAAGATCCCGTACACATTTCCTAAAGCCTCTTGAGAGAGTGCACGTAAGCGAAGGTTTGTCTGCCTCTAGACTTTGGACAGCCTGTGCTTTTCCTGTTGGCCCAGCACGGGGTGATTTCTGCCCAGTTCAGGGCACAGTGGACAAGCAGGACTGCCCCTACCCTCTTCCATGGCAGGAACTGAGGCCGACTTTCTTGCCTCTGAATTGCTTTTCCAGTTTTGAGCACCCCGTGTTTTCAACCATCAGGTAGTCCCATTTTCTTCACGGGCGGCTTCCCCCTTAGAGCAGGTGGGAATTACACTGTTGGCAGGGGACTCCTGGGGACCAGGTGTCGAATCCTTTCTGGACTGTTCTCATCTCCACCTAATCTTTGATAGTTAGTTAACTTTCCTTGATACCTTTTCTGACTTTTGCTAATTAACTATGCTGTTATTTTATTCCACAGAGCACTAGATTACCTGATATTTTGACCCTTAGAGTTCCTTTATTCTGGCTTTCAACAATATATATTTAAGTCATATCTAGTTTTCCCCTATGTTGCTTTCTATTTTTCAGTATTTATTTTTACTTTCCATTTTACCTAATATCTTATAATAATTTCTTTTTCTAAGGTTGAATACCTTTTTGCATTGTAATTATGTGGAGTTTTTGTTGTTGTTGTTGTTGTTGTTGTTTTTTCAATAAGAGGGAAAATTTGTTACTGGACACCAAATAATCAGGCCTGTAAGCCTATCTCTCCATGGTGGGCCACAGAGGTCTTTTCCTGAGCTACTGGCCAGCCTGGGAGGTCCTAGGCCCTCAACCTTCCCGCCCTTATTTAGTGTTTTATCCAACAGGTTCATGGCTGTTACCTGCGATCAAGTTCTGAGTCACTGAAGGAAGAGTCAGAATGAGTAACTCCAACTGGAAGATCTTTTTCCTGGCAGGAAAATTAAAATGTCAGGTGTGGAGCAGGCTTGAGGACTATATTGGAGTATATCCTCTTTTTCCAGCACTTCCGGCGCCCATTTCTTCTCCTTTCTATCCTCTAGTCCCATGGCCAACCAACACTGCATAAGAGGAACACCGGGCCCTCACAGGGATGGGTGATTTAGTCATTCCTTCACCTCGAAGGCTCAGCCAGGTTAGGTGGGTGGGAGGGATGGGGAGGGCCAGGGAAGGGTGAGAAAAGGTGATAGAATTACACAAATAGGAAAGAGAGAAGAAGAATGAGAAGATCAAAGACACATCTGATGGAGAGTGATGGGAAGCCGTTCAAGGGCTCTTGACGGGGCCCGCAGGATCCCCTGTCTGGGTCTTTGAGGAAAGTGGCGAGCTCTGTCTTTGGGGCAACGGGGTCTGGACTCAGGTTGGGAACTCAAGCTGTGCTGTCTTAATGACTGGACTCTCTACTCATAGGGAGCTGAGGCTGTGAGGGGGTAAAGGCAGCAACAGAATCCCCCAAGGTCTTCATAAGCAACACCTTACCCATCCCAGGAGGCCCAAGATGCTTTCAGCAGGTGCGAGATGCTTGTGACTTGTACAGAATAACAGCCCAACTACTGGGACCTTCTAAGTTATAATCCAAGTGCAATATACCCGTTTCTCTAAAGGACAGCTCAGCTTGGATTTGAGCTCTCATTCATCTCAATAATCCCTGGGAAACATGGGAGGCTTAGTGGGTCATGTTCATATGAGTGTGGTCTGAAACAATGCAAGAGCGGACCAGGTGGTGCCACAGGCATCTGGGGGCACCAGGGCAAAGGAAGGAATGAGAAATTTTGCCTAGAGTGAAGACTGGTCACTGGAATTGGCAGGGTTGGTCTGAGCTTTCCCTCTGGTTGGAGTCCCAATCCTCATGGTGTGGTTCTGTTTGAACTCTGCCTAGCACAGTGGTCCTCTAGCATCTAAGACCATTAGATCCCCTGAATTAAAGATGGAAGTTCCTTGAGGAAGAGGTGGAGGGTTAGTAGTAAGGAAGGGAAAGACGCCATGTGTTTTACTTACTGGCAATGCAGTGGATACCATTTTGGGGGTCACTTTGGACACTTTCCATGGGGATCTTTATAACTGAGGGAGGAGGGAACTGGGGCTGGAGAGAAACAGTGGGAAAAGCTGATAAACACCACCAATAAAATAGCTTTGGCTTTCTTTCCAAGACAGAAAATACATACACCCACAGTGTGCGAACTGCCATCTTTATATCCAGACTAAACAGTTAGGGGGGCTGCAAACGCTCTTGGGCCCACCGAGGGCACATCACACGGTGAGTGTGCTGTCCTGGACGGGACGGACCTCTCCCGGGAACATCACCCAGAACAGTTTCAACTGTAGTGATGACTCGTCACTTGGGAGTGAACCTCACATTGATGCTGTGTGAGGACGTGTGTAAAATGAATTTGTGTAAATTAAATCCGTTTTTCCATTGAATAGATCAACAATCCAGAGATATTTTTCCCCAACCCTGGAATAGTTTCGGGCACATGGTAGCCACTCAAATATTTATTGAATGAATCAATGAAAGAATAAGTATTTTTCTTTAAAAGGCACTTAGACTCTCAGTTTCTTTGTTCTCAGAATCTATCTCTGCAAATCATCTGAACTGTCAATGAAAAATGTGAAGGAATGAAGGGCCCTTCCTGGAGGAGGAAGTAACTAGGACCAGGGGAGTTTGGGTTTCTGACTATCATCAGAAGATGGGCTTCATCGCCACCAATCAGTCAGCAAGGATTCACCTAAGAACAGTTTCGATCTGCAAAAGGCAACATCACTAGGAGAACAATTCAAGGATGATGCAGGGATGTGGTTTTAAGTCAGACTGGGAGAATGGGAGCCAGGCATGATATTAGGAGATGTCACGGGCAGCTTAATATACCGGAAATGATCAGAGTCCAAGTCCGGAATGGTTTTCTTAATTCCCTCTAGGACATTTAGCCATATGTCCGTCTTGGGTGAATCACTTCCCTTTTGGGGGACAGTTTCATCATCTGTAATGAGTAGTTGAACTAGGCAATCTTTTTGCCTAACATTTTGTGATTTACTGTAAGTTCTGGACTGGCTTCTTGTCTATTGACTCCCTGAGTGTTTGGGGAGGTTGGGCAGGAAGGAAACATGGGAGAAGAGAGGGGTAGTCAGGGCCACCGAGTGGTTTCGGGCACTTGGAGAATGTGGTCAACCTCCTTTCACTGAGGACACATCCCTCTTCCCCCATCTCACTCCCTGAAACCTGAGGGGCAGGACCAAGCAAGCCTTGTCCCCAGTCCTCCCGTCTGTCCAGGAGCTCAGGGTATGAGTAAGTTCCCATCAAACCCCTCCCCCGAGCCTGCTCCATTCTTTAGAATTCAGTCCTTACAACCTCCAAGTGGAGCCAGGCTCGGCCCTGTTCCCTCAAGGGCTGCACCGCTGTTGAAAATGGCCCCACGGAGCCCGTAGGAATGGGAAAGGGCGGGCTTAGCCAACCAACACTTCCCTGCGTGGGGTGCTCTTTCACTCTGGCCCACCCTGACACAGCCACATAAACAGACAAGCTCTCAGCACCCCAGACCAAGGTGAGCAGAAGCCTCAGCTCTCCTGGGCTGGGTCGCCGCAGGCCACCTGCGGAGCTGCCCTATCCCTGGCCCCGGCAGAAGTGGAGGAAGGGTCTCTTGACCTCTCCCCTAGGCCCAGGCCTCACATCCTCCCCACCTCCTCGTCACTGTCCTCGTGAGCCCCTTTCCTTCTCTTTTTCTTCTTATCCATCTCCTTTTTCTCCTTCTCTGGGAGGATATTGTCAATCCAGGCCAGTTCGTGCTGGGAGAAGATGAGGTCCAGCAGCCTTCGGACGATGATGAGGCCCAGGATCTGCAGTGAGAGTTCAGAGAAAATTATAGGCTCAAGTTCCCAAACTTGGGCAGTTTTTTCTGCCTCAGTCAGCCATGTTCAACGACTTGTTCTGGACAGTGCCTTTGGAACCATCTCAAAGCTCCCACAACCCATCATTCACCGCCTCCTGCCCACCTTGGATCCTGTCAGGTTTTCCGCAGTCGAGTGACAACGCCCACCAGTGACCCACGGAGACAGAGCCTGTGATGACGGAGGCGGGGAGCCAGGTAGAGACCATGGGCTAGAGAACTACAGCTATTCTTTAAATCAGTGCTCCTCAAACTCGAGCTCGCATCAAACCACCTGGCAGGCTGTTAATATGTACACACACTGCTGGGTGCTGAGGACCCTAATGAGAAGCCCGGGTCAGAAATCGCTTACGTAGAGCCCCCCCAGGAGGGCACATTTCATATCCTACCTCTGTGTCCTCACTTTGGCCTCAACTCCAGCCCTGCAGGTTTGGGGGCCCCTCAGGGCTTTCCCTGGGTGTTAGTTCATTGGCCCCAGTTCCCCCAGCCAGGGCCCAGGGCTCCTTCCCTCTGGTGGGGTTATTTAGGAGCTGGAGGCAATTTGTTTTTGGCTTTTTTATTCTTCTCACTTTTTATTTTGGAATATTTTCAAACTTATATAATAAAATTTGCTAGAAAAGTCACAGGACTCTCATGCACTTTCCTCAAATGTCATGTTAATGACATGGGACTTTGGACTGATCCTAGTTCTTCCACCCCGCCCCCACCCTACCCTACACCGCACTTATCTTTCCGAATTCACTTAGTTTGAGTGGTGGAAGGATTTATACTGAATTTCAGCAGTGAGGACCTTAGTTTTCTTGTTGTATTTGCCTAGCTTCTCCACTCTGCCCCAGAGTAGGGGAGACTGGGTGGCCTTTGCATTCTTGCTGAGCCTCGCCCCCTGGGCCGGGGGTAGGTGGGGGCTCGCCCCCTCACTGCAGGGTCACAGGCCTTCTTCCCCTGCCCTCCTCTCTGGTTTCCCCATCCCATCTGGCCTGGACTTACAACCCCAATCTTGTTCTGTGCTTGCCTGAGAAGAGAAGAGGGCCGGGCCATCTGGGTGGAGAAGGTGAGGGAGGACCTCCCTGTGGACACCCACCCAGGCTGAATCCATGCAACGGGAGGGGGATGCCGGCCCCATCTTACCATGACCGGGAAGATGATGGCAGCCACGGTGGATTTGAGGATCCAGAGCACCGCCAGGCAGAGGATCTGCACCAGGGTGAAGAGGTGGATCCGGCGCAGGGGCACGTGCCGCAGGAAGGCATGGTCCGGCTGGTGCTTGGCTGGCATCAGGAAGAGCTTGCAGCGCTCCCAGAACTGGTGAGGACAGCATGGGGCTCAGCCAGTAGATGGGACCCGGGTGGCCCTGCTGGGGGCTTGGGGTGTGGGGGAAGTGTTGGTTTGGTGGGGCCTCATAGAGAGGAGTCCCTGGTCAGGCGTTAAGGACACACGGAAAGAGAACCGGAGGTTTAGGAGGACACACAGCAGGAGGTCTTTCAGGGCTTGGGCCCCGAGTGAGGGCTCCAGCCCTGCCGCTGGCTGCAGGCGAGCACTGTCTGCAGTCAAAGAAAGTGCAACTTCATTGCAACACCAATAATTCAAAACATCCTGCTGTTGCATGGTAAGTAAAGAAGGAAACAAAATGTTTTCTTCTGCCAGAGGTACTTTAGAGAAGTCAGACATGGAGTGAAATGCTCACCGGAGTCAGCCCGATCTGGGTTTTGGATTCAGAGCCTCAGTTTCTTCATCTATAAAATTGGTTATCAGAGGACCTGCTTTTACAGACTTAATTATATAACACCTATAAAGTGCCAAGTCATTTTACTTGGCAAATGGTAAATGGTAGTCTTGTTATTGTTTCATTGAACTGGGAAAGTGAGCACTTGGGGCCTTGGGGCCTTGGGGCCTTGGGGCCTTGGTGACATGGACCTGGTCGTGGACTGCCGACACCAAGGGGAGGGCCTTACCTGGATGCCATTCAGGGAAGCCACGCCCATGTAGAGGAAGACTCCGTACAGCACTGGCATGGGGATGTACTGAAATGAGAGGTGGAAGTGGAGCTTTGGACTGAGCCTATGCCCGTGGCAAGCTGTCGGCTGCCCTGCTCTGTACGAGACTGTCTGCCAAGTTGCAGAGGCTCTCCCAAGGCGGTGAAGGGGCTGGCTGTTTGGAGGAAGGGAGGGCCCGAGAGCAGACCTGGAGCCAGTGGGGAGGGAGATGGTCTCTGGGGCTCTTCTGCCATCTGCTCTACCTGGGGGGGCCAGGCCAGTGTGCGGCTCTTCGCCCAGCCTTGTCCCCCACTTCAGGCCCTGCAGAAGCCATGTGGTCTGAAGACATAGTTTCTGGAACACGAGAAAGCTCCATGGACAGCCCCCTGCTTTTCCTGGCTGTCCCTTCCCACCTCCAGTCCCAGCCTCAGGGTCCCCAAAGCTGTGCTACTCAGCTTGTAGAGAAGGCACCTTTAGTGAGCTGACCTATACATGAGCAGGGAGTACCTGCTGATTAACAAAACTCATGCACCATATGTGATCATATAACAATAAAGAAGAAACAAAATAGAATGTATATACAAGCCACCACTAATCTCCAAGTAACCACTAGTGCTTTGGTGGGTGTCTCTCCTTCTGATCGTGCTCACAGGTAGATTGTTCAAAAACAGGATCATATTATTGATACTGGTCTACAATCATCATTATGACTCTTTAGAGGCCTTTTGAGGTATTTCACCGCTATCTCTCTAAGCTGTGGCTCTTCTTCTCTCTTTCTCTTTCTCTGCATCGTGCTTGCCATGACGAACCAGGCTGCCCTGCCTCAGGCCCGGGGTTGCCATGTCGGAACATGTGAGAGAACTGTGCCCGTTAGACACCATTGCAGAATGTCAGTAAATCTAACCAAATAAACATCATCTTTCTTAAAATAAACTAAACCATGTCCATTTTTGAAACGTAAAGTAGGGTTTAAACCCGCCTGCTGTAAACCTCAGTCTAAGACATTTGAGGTGAAGGAAAGGAAACGTGGGGCCGGGGCATCATTCTGTTTGTACACGGCTTCTGAGAGTTTTGCCTGATTGTGAACCCAGGGAAAAATCTAGATGAACAACACTGTCCTAATCATGCCCAAAGTGGCAGGAATTGACAAATAAATTTGTAAGTAAATGGCAGCTATAGTCCATAATAGCACAAATTTAAGATGGCTTACATCTTCCCTTTGCTCTCGGGAGTGTGAAAACTGCATCAAACAGGAGCACTGAGCTAAGTCTTCGATCATTTGTAGTTAACCTCTGACTGATTATCAAGCGTAGGAGATTATTTCCAGTCCTGTTATTCGCAGGCTCAAGCAGCCTTTCCAGCAAATCGCAAAGGCGCAGGACCTCATATTCCCACCAGTGATGGGGCCGTGATCTAGAATTCTAGATTAATTGGCACAAATCTGCCTTGGATCCCCAGGGAAAAGCTCTTTTCCAATACTAATGACACAGTAAAGTGGCAAAAAAAAAAAGTGCTTCTAAGTGCCAGCTTTATACCACCTGTTAAAGCACTCAACAATGATCACAGTCCCACAAACATAAGGACATCACGGCCTTCCTGTGGAATTGGAGGCTGAGACCATGAGACTAACATGGGGTTCAGAGGGGGAGCTTCAGACCCGGTCAGGAGATCCTCGGAGGCGGAATGTAGAAATCCACAGTTCCGAAGGGCTGTGGAAAAGTGCAGGCTAAAAGCAAACAAAACAAAACTTCAGGGTTTGGGATGGACTGGGAAGCTGACTGTAAGTCATTTATGCTGCCCATGGATGCTTTATCTCCCAGTGCCCTCATTTGGTGAGGTAACCAAAGATTTGCAAGTTGGCAATGGAAGGACTGAAGATTACTACTGGTCCTCTCAAAATAAACCCCACTGTGTCTAAATCAGTACAACTATCCTCTGAGAGGGAGGGAGGGAGAGAGAGAGAGATTTCATCTCTTGCTGCTCAGAGTGTGGTCTTTGGTCCAGCATTACTGGCATCACCTGTGAGCTTGTTAAAAATGCAGAATTTTGGGTCCCACCCAGAACTACTGAATCAATGTCTTCTGTTAACAAGATTCCAGGTGATTTTTTAGACATTAAACTTTGAGAAACCCTAGAACAGAACTCTACTGGAGGAATTGGTACAAAGACAAGTAGAGTTAATGACTGATATAGAACATTAAAAGAAACACTAGTAACTGAATCTAATTGACACTCTCTAAAATTTGTAGCATCAGGTCCCCTCCCCTCTGTTGGCTACATGTGCAAGAAATAAAGATTTCAACTAAAGTATGCTTTTGTGCAGATAGCTCTCCAGGCTAAGTTCTCTATGATTCTAGAACTCAGCTATGCCTAAGACACGGGCAAACTTATAGTTGCAAAAAGTTACACAAGCTTTTCTAAAAAAAGTTTCTTAAAAATATTTATTTATTTTCAGAAAGAAGAGAAAGGAGGGAGAAAGAGGGGGAGAGAAACATCGATGTGCAAAAGAAACATCAATGGGTTTCCTCTCACACATCCCCAACTGGGGACATGGCCCACCACCCAGGCATGTGCCGTGACTGGGAATCATTCATAGGCCAGCGCTCAATCCACTGAGCCACACCAGCTAGGGGTAAACAAGCTTTATAGAAACATTTCTTGATTGGAAATAAGTGCAGGGATTAAATCTAAGATGTTATATCTGGATTGTTACGATATGCTTTTCTTAAACTGGCTATATAAATTATGTCTTCTCTGACTGAAGATCAATCTAGTATTCAAGATTGGTGTCAGCTGATGATAATGCTTTAATCACTAAACTAATGATTTTGAAGCTTATCTTTTTTTATTAGACATTCTTTTATTTTCCTTTGTTAAGATAAAAGAAACTCGAGCAGGATAGTTGTTGGGTTGTGATGGGGAAGTCTTTCCTTGAAGAGACTCTTGACACTTCATTCCCAGGAGCAGCCTTGGGTGAAATGATTCTTGGAAGAAGCATGTGTAAAGTTGTCCACTTCCCCTGAAAACCTGTCTTTATGAAAAGGTATATACCTTCATATAATGGAATCAGAATCCTAAATCTGACCAAGGAAAATCTAGATGGGCCTTCTTTGCTATAAAATTTATCAAATAGATTGAGGGAAGAGTGAAGATAGGGAATATATAAAATACAGTCTTTACACCAACCTGCTAAATTTAACATTATGAAGGTTGAGGCATGAGGAAAGACTCCATTCTTGTCCTAACTAGCCTTGGGACTTAATTTTTTTTTTTAATTTTCCAGTTCTGTGGCAATGCCTGTATATATACATATCTGAACCTGCATGTAAACCTCTGATTACATGCCTGAAGGACCCACATATCCAGGCCAGCTGATAAGCTCCTGAACGACAGGTATATGTATCCACCTGGCATAGATTATCCAGATTATTGGCGGAACCAGACCACCTGACACCCATCTTCTGGACCACTCGACATGCATCACCCTGACTGCCTGACATCTGCCTGATAGCCGCCCAGGACCCATCCCAGGCCTGAGGATGTGGGACTGGCCCTGACGGATGTGGCTCAGTAGGTTAGGTGCCATCCTGCAAACTGTAAGGTCGCTGGTTCTGGTTCAATTCTCAGGGCACATGCCTGGGTTGTGGGCCAGGTCCCCAGTTGGGGCACATGCATGAGGCAACCAATTGATGTTTCCCTTGCACATTCATATTTCTCTCCCTCTCTTTCTCTCTCCCTCCTCCTCTCTCTAAAACAAAACAACAACGAAAAACTTTAGGAAACAAGTGCAGAACTGGTAATCCTTAAGAATGTACTGTTTACTGTAAGAAATTTTAACCTTCCTCTCTTCTTTGGAACACCTCTGGGTTTTTGCCTAGCTGTGTTCTGATCGCACCAAGACCCTTGAATAAATACCATTTATTTCTAGCAAGGCCTCCAGATTCTCTTTGAGTTTGTTCAACAGATTATTTGATGGTTAAACAAAACATTATATTTTCCACTCTTATTGTAAAAGAACATGGGCAGGATTTTTCAAATTCTCTTGTGATTAAATGCAGACAATATCAGAGCATTTGGAGCTATGGGATCCATGGGAACTTCTCCAAGATGGTCAGGGTAATAATGGCACCCCCTTATGATGCCCCATATCTGGCATCTTACTCTCTTAATAGAGCCCATTTATTTTATAAGGTGCATAAATTAATACACAAATACAGTGCACTGGTTAGAAAAGTTACAGCATTTGAGCCAAGAACTGCAGCAGAAAGGAGTTCTGTGACAGCTTAAATTAGAAAACTATTTCATATCACCCAAAAATGAGCGTTATGACTACGCATCATTAAGGATGACCATGAAAGGCTTTAGTAATGTCAACTCTTCTGCACAGAATTAATTTCATTTCAATGATTTTAAGTACAAGGTCTGTCCAGAAAAAGTCCAGCCATTGTTAATATAATAAGAACAGTTTGTGTAACATTGATATAACTTGGCAGCCAAGGAGAAGGGACTGGAATGTACGAACAATGCGTGAACAATGCTGATATCACTGTACTAGTCAGCAGGGGCAGGTAGACGCCATTGAGTGAGCATGTGTACTGTGTGGCCATCACATTCAAAATGACTGAGTGAGTAGAGCAAGGAATCTGCATTAACCTTGAACATTCCTCCGTGGAAACTATTCAGATGATTCAGAAGGCTTTTGGATGATGCAATGAGTGCAGCACAAATAAAAGTGTGGTACAAATACTTTCAAAGATGGTCAAGAATCTCTTGAAAGTGACCCATGTTCTGGAAAGCCTGCAACAAGCAGAACACCTGAGAATGTTGAACGTGTATGGGCTGCAGTCAACAAAGATTGGTGACTGAACATTGTGAGAACTGTAAGCTGATCTGGGGATTCCAAAAACTACTGTGTCTGAGATTTAGACACAGGATCTTGGCAATAAATGTGTCATGGCAAAATTCGTTCTGCGGCTCTGCTACCAGAGCAGAAGGAACATTGTACTGCAGCTGCTAATGACTTGATTCAAACCACTACCAATGAACCAGATTTCCTCAAGGTCATGCAGGAGGTGAATTGCGGATCTATGGCTACGATCCAGAAATGAAGGCCCAGATGTCCCAATGGAAGTCGCCTGGTTCTCCATGCCCAAAGAAGGCACGGCAAAGTCACAGCAAGATCAAGACCATATTAACATTGATTTTTGATTGGGAAAGTGTTGTCCATCAGGACTACACCCCTCCAGGACAAACAATGAGTATTTGTACAATGAATATTACTACCTCAATGTTCTTCATCAGTTGAGAGATGCAATATGATGAAATCGTCTGCAGCTACTGGCAACTGGTGATTGGCAGCTTCACCATGACAATGCACCAACTCATGCATAATGTCTCATGCAGAGTTTTTTTGGTGAAGCATCCAATCACCCAGGTGATTCAGCACCCCTACAGCTTATATTTGGTGCCCCGCAACTTCTGGATTTTCCCAAACTAAGATCACCTTTGAAAGGGAAGAGATATCAGACCGTTGATGAGATTCAGGAAAATACAATGGGATAGCTGATGGAGATTCCAACAAAGCATTTAGTAGAGTGTTTTAAACAGTGGAAGGGATGCTGGGAGAACTGTGTGAGGTCCTAAGGTGCCTACTTTGAAGGGGACTGAGGCATCATTGTCCTCTGTACCATATTTCTTGTATCTTGTATTTTCTTCGATAGATGTCTCCATTTTTCATAGTACTGGCTGGATACTTCCTGGACAGACCTCATCTACTTTGTGGATATGCTATTTATATTCAGAAGATGGATGACATTAGTGCCAAAGCAAAAATTTACTAAATTAGATATGTCAAGCATATGAATGCAAAAGCCTAGAAAATTTACACTTATAATAAGTACATCTACAAGATAACTGAGCACCTTGTAAATGAAACAAAGGAGGGAAACTGTAACGGAATTTTCAAACTGCTTTGTGTTTTATTCCAATGTGAGTAAGAGCTGGTGATAAAAGACTCAATCACTGAACACTCCCCACAGGCGGGGTGGCATGCCTTGGACTGCTGAGCTCCCTCTCATAGGGACACTGTCATCCACAAAAGGCTTCAGGAACTTTTGACCCCTAAAGCAGATTGTTCGTAGATTTGAGCCTTTTTATGCAAATCCTTGTCTGTTAAACAGTTTCAGGACCAACCAGCACGATGGTTATTTGGAAATTAAAATTAAATATTCTCTGGCCATTTAAAATACTCTTTTAAATAAACAAAATGCCTGCTCATCTGCATGCAACCTGTTTTCTGAACAATGGAAACATCCTTTAAAAAAAATATTCAGGCTCAAACCTGCTGTTTGGGTTGCTCAGCACTGGGTCTCAAGCTAGAAATGTTTTCCATTGTAAATGAATCAATGAATGGCATGGTTCTTCAGTTTTTTTTTACAAGGCCACCCCTGAGTGAGTTGTTCTGAGATATTCAAAAGGGGGAAAATATCTGCAAAAGACTGGAGCAACTACAATTAAGATTAACTCAAGAAAGGAAAGTCTTTGTAGGCATTGATTATGTGGAAGGGCCATTGATAGGTGCTATGGGCCAAACTGTGTGCCCACAGATTCATATGTTGAAGTCCTAACCCTCAGTACCTCAGCATGAGGACACACACTCTGAAGATGCTCCAATTTGATTTCATCTCTTGCAACTGGTCTGGAGAGACATGAGCAAGAGGAACTTCAGACTGTGTGGGAAAAAATCACTTGTGTGCCCAGACATGCAAGACAGAAAAGCAGAAAACAGGCCTCAAGAACACTTAGAGAAGCTTCCCTGCTTCATGTCTTAAACTTCCGAAAATGGTGAGCAAGGAGGCCTCTAGCCAGCCATAAACAAAGGAGCGTGGAAACACCACCGGCTCAGGAAAGCTCCTGATCTAAGCAAGGATGAAACTCGGCAGAACTTTGTGAGGGAAGAGTGTTTCACAGAAAAGTGAGGGTGGACCCTGGGAGGGGTGGATAGAGCAGCGAGGACTGCCAGCTGCTCATAATAAATGACACAATAGTCTAGAAAACGATGATGATGAAGTATCTCTTTGGCCTAATAGAATCCTGCCTTTTCAGGGACGATGTGGGAACCTTTCTCCCACCTCTGAGGCATCAGGCCAGTGGTTTCCAGGCAGACAGAGCCTTTTAGGAGGACGCAGAGTCTTACCTTCAGGATAGGAGCCAGGAAGACAGAGATCCCGGTCAGGATGAAGACAATGGTGCCGGTCACTCTCTGTTCCCTGGCAGGGAAGAGCACATAGTGAAGTAGACTAGGATATGCTGAATGATCATTACAACCCTCAGGCCCTCTGTGGGCGCCTCAGGGTTATGCCCAAGGCTGGGGCCTCTGCCTTGTTCCCCATTCCAGAGAGTAAGCCCGCTGCCCAAGGCCAGCTGACAGACACATGAGAAGACAGGGAGCCCTGGCAGAGGTGACAGCATTTTGAAGGGGGGTTTGGAAGGTTGTCCAGCATAGTAACTAATACGGGGGGCTGTTTGACCCAGACTGACTTAAGTGGCTTTGCCACTTACTAGTTGTGTAGTACCACCTAAGCAGAAGAGAGGTGGGTTGTTGTGAGGTTGAAACGGGATATAAAGTGCTTATTATCTCTGCCCTTTGACTGTAATAAGATCCCACGTTTGCAGGCCATGACTAATGAGGACTCGGGGGAAGGGTGCCCAGCTGCTGGCAGAGCAGGTATGGGGGTGGGAGAGCAGGTGGGTTTTCCTGTGTGCACAGGTCCAGACACAATGCAGGCGGGGGAGCCGGAGGTGCTGGGGCAGACGGCTCAGGCCCAGCTACCTGGGGCTCAGGGGTCTGGGCGGGACCCTGCCCTGACCAGAGAAGTCTCGCTTGGGGCAGGCCGGGCAAGTCAGGTCTCCTGAGGCAGAGGGGAGACGGCCATAGGACAGCCACTTCTGAGAATGCCAGCGACTGCCATGGGCTCACCGTGGAGGCCCTAAGAGGTGGAAGATGTGCTTCTCTGTCTGAAACAGATCAAGGGTTTGACATGGGGCATGAGAGGAACACAGGCGACAGGCCATGGGCCACAGCCCAGGGGTGGGAACTGTCCCAGAAGGCTTTCTGGAAGAATGAAGATTGAGCAGAACCCAAACCCACAGGAGGGCATTGGGGGATGGTGGGGGCAGGGCATCTTAAAAAGGAGACAAAGGGACAGGTCAGAAGTGGCCTGCGGGGCTCTTGAGTGGCCTCTACATGATAGGTGAGAGCTGAGAGTGTGTATGGGCCATGGAGGTGTGTTGCTTGGAATCTATTAAGAAAAAAAGCACCACTTACAATTGAATTGTTGTCTCCCTCCTCCCTTCCATCAGGAACGTCACTCCTATCCCTGTGGCTCCTGGGCTGTCCCAGCAGGGGCCACTTTTGCTCAAACTCCTTGACGTTAAGAAAAACCTGCTTCCCCTCCTCCAAACTGACCATCCCACTCAGGTGGTCCCCAGGCCTGGAGCCCCACCTACCTGACCCCCAGGAATTGGGGCTGCTCCCCTGGGGCACTGGTCTCCGTTTCCATCTTGAGGCTGTCGATGTGGGCGATGGAGATGACCGTGGCCGCCACGTACCAGGGGAGCCCCATGAAGGAGCACAGGGCCATCAGGATGCCCACCCAGAACAGGTCCAGATGGTAGCCCGCTGCCTTCTGCAGGGACAGCGGGAGAGGAGAAGCTGTCTAGGAGCCCGCGGCTGACCATCGTTTGGGGTGGGGTGGGTTAGACAGACATCTCCCCAGCGCAGTCATTTGGTGGAACATGGTTCAAGGGCTCCCCTTGACTTTCTGGAGGGGACTCTGAGGGGGCCGCTGTCTTGAAGGGCTCAAGGCTTACCAGCCCAGGGTTTGGTGAGCCAGGGAAGGGACACAGGTGAGTGAGGAGAGGAGGGACTTGGAATGGCCCTGGGCTTGCGTCCTTAGGAAGAAGGGCTCATAACAAGTGGCCACAATATCTCTGCAGTTCCTGAAAGGGGCCCAGGCTGGGACAGGCCCTAGACCAGTGATTTTCAGCCTTTTTCACCTCATGGCACATAAATTAATTACTTAAATTCTGCAGCACACCAAAAAAAATACATTTTTTGCTGCTCTGATGAAAAATCGGTATAATTTTGATTCCTTCATACCGGATGGCTGTTGTTGTGTTGGCTATTGTCATTTTATTAGTTGGCCATCTAAGGGAAAAGAGGTCAGTGCCCCTGACTAAACAGTCAGGTATTGCATGTTTTAAAAGTTTTTGCGGCCCACCCATTGAAAATCACTGCCTTAAACCAAACCTGGGGTGGTCGAGGTTGGGATGGGGGAGAGGGCAGCCCGAATCTCCTCAGACCCAGAGGTAGGGTGGGGAGTTGCAGGACCAGGAGAGCTAGGAATGCTCCTCGGTCTCATAGTTCTGGGTCAAAATGCCAGTGTTAGGATCTGCTCAGATTGCCAAATTCACTGTCAGGAGGCACAGAGCTGGAGGGTCTCTTTGGGAGAAGCAAGGTACCCAGTGGCCCACCCTGGACTTGGTCCTGGTCTTTGGATCAAGTCACCCTGGGCCTGGTGGCCTTGTTGCATCTGGCGGTCACATTTCTCCCCACACACCAGAACTCCAGTCTTCATATTTTACTACACAAAGAGCCCAGGACTTTGATGGATGCACCATAGGCCTTCTTCATTCCTTCTGACTTTGTGGGAAGAGAGAGGTCGTGCCCCTGCTCCTAGAGCCAGCCTTACCCTCAGCTTATTCTCCTTCCGGTTGACGATGACAGCTGTGATCTGCTGGTCCATGAATATCAGGATGGTCACCAGCAGGGCAGGCAGGATGCTCGCTGGGTACACCCACCACGGGTTCTTCCCAAAGGGGGCCACGAACCAGCCTCGGTCTGGCCGCGTGGGCTGAGTGGAGCAAACAGAGAGGGCCTTTCTGCTCTCCCTCGTCCCAGTGCACTTGCCACCCAGGGCCCCCTCTCCCCGCCTTCCTGCCGGTCTTCCACCTGGAGTACTTTCTGAGTGCAATCTTTTCCCTTACCGACATGGGCACCTGCAGCTTTAGAACAAAGAGACCCCGAGGCAAACAGATGTGGGAAGGACCCTGTGTCTGCAGAGCTAAGGGGATCATATGTGGCGGCTGCCTGGGGTTGGTTAGGAAACAAGGAGATACTCAGAGGATGTGGGGAAGGAGCTTGCAGTCACTGCATAATTGCAAACTAAAAAGGAGCAGAAATAAGGCTTAACAGGCAAGAAGAAAAAATTTGATGGGCTGAGTGCCTGATGCTCCTGCCTCTCCTTGAACTCGCCTGACTGGGAAGCCTTACAGAATTGTCTGTAAAACACCAAATATCAATTCAAACTTACATATTGAAATATAAGGGATTACCTGTGCAGGAGCTGGGCTGAAGTTTATCTTTTGTTTTACTTAAGAGGTACTTTAATTTTCTAGGCCAACACCAGTTGTATGAGATGTGTTTCATCTCCTTAGGAGAACCCTGAAGTAATATTGTGAAAGTCAAGCCCTCAAAATTAGGAAGGGCCAGTTCCAGGATCTGTACCTCCCAGCCTGGTGCCCCTTATGAGGCAGGGCCTTAAGCTCAGCTGCAAGCAAATGGCGTAAACTCTGGGCTAGCAGGGAATTTGTGAAGCAAATTCTCCTTGATGCTGGTCTGGGCCCACAGTTCAAGAATCACTGTTCTAAGGGATCATTTTCACCAGAACCCAGGCGGCCCAGCTTGCAGACTGCCAGGAGTCAGGGAGCTGTAGGCTCTCAAGTGGAAATCAAGGGACTTCAACTAGATTCCAGCACCTTGCCCACCCTCTGGCTACACAGTGGGGTTTCATTGTGAACATGGCCATAGAGCATGTGACAGTTTGACCACCACAGAGGGGAAAGGACCTGCAGCTGGTGGGCAGCAGAGCTAATGCCCAGAGCAAACCTTGATGACACTGGGCACGTGCAGCTTGGGGGTTTCCAGACCGAAACAGGCATCGACACCACAGAAGAACAGGATGGAGAAGACAATGGAGAAGTCAGCTACTAGGGCCCGGACCTGTGGAAAGATGAGCGAGTGAGCACAGTACCAGCTCATCTGCAGGTGGACCCTGTCCTCATGCGGCAAAGAGGAGAATGATTAAGAGCTTGGGCTCAGCCCAGGCTCAAAGCCTGGCTCAGCCCTTGCCTGGTATGTAATTTTGGGGACACATGTCATCTCTTGGAGCCTCAGTTTTTCCATCTGTTAAATGGGGATAAGATAGCATCTACCTCATAGGCATAAGTGAGCTATGATGCATTCAAGGAGCTTGGCATATACTTGTCCAAGTGGGAATTGTCCACGTGGCATAGCAGCCATTGCTGACATTTTTTTGGTATGACAGATGGAACTGGGTCACCCAGGAGGGGTGGTAAGGACAAGGGCTGAATTCTGAAGAAAATTTTAGCTCCTAAAAATGTGTGACAGATTGTTGCACCGCCACCCAGGCCGGGGAGGAAAGGCCCCCAACTCTGCTGGGGACCCCTGGCTACTCTCAGACCTTCTGTCCACTAAGAGTCCTTGGCCTCTTGCTCCTCTGATTCAGGAGGCCTGTCCGAGGCCAGGCCCTGGACCGCACCCCACTGCCCCCGGCCGCCCTTCCACACCACCAGATGCGCTGTCACCTTTTCTGTGTCTCTTCAGAGACAGCAGTTTCTAGAGAACAATGGGGAAGGCAGTTAGGAAGGCAGGGGTGGGTTACATTTGGTACAATGAGTTCATTCCCTGTACCTCCTACTGCCCTTTAAAACTGGTATTAAAATATCATATGCAATTAATTCAAAACCCACATAGTATAAAAGCAAAGCCCTCCCTTCCCCTTTCCTCTCTCCAGCCCCCCTTCTGGATACACCCATATGTCTGTTTGATTTTAGTTGTTCTGCTGGTTTCCTTCATGTCACTAACACGTATGTTATACTTTTATATTTTGATTTACTCATTTAAGACATTATCTATAGATAAGGATTTAGCTTATTTGCACTATGCCTTCTGCTCTTTCCTTGTTCCCAAATATTTGAGACTTGTTTTTAAATTCCTTCCAAAGGTTTCCTTTGCACTTTCAAGATATATAATCAAACCTCTCTTTCCACTAACTTTTGCGCGTCTCCCTCCTCCTCCGTGGCCTTGGGAGGCCAGGCTTGCTGCCTGCCCTCCCCGCCCCTCCCCCCACCCCTCCCAGCCTCTGACAGCTCCCCTTCCACCTGTACATTGTCAAAGCCGAGAACGCTCATATTCTCTTCTGTAAACATATGTCCTCTGTGTTTTATCTATAAGTTGATTCTAAAAGTTGAAAATCAATAACAGCTTTATATTATGATGATCCTATAAAACATTGGTCACACAGAACCAAGCGGTATGCTAGGTTTATACTTGTTTTCCTACAACATTTCTAGCATCCAGATCAAAAAGTTAAGTTAAACCATATGAATTTGCCATTTTTTTGTACGTCAAAACAGTCAAATACACAGCAGGTCTTCAAACAGCATCATTTCATTCAACATTGTTTTGTTACAATGTTGATGAGGAAAAAAAAATCCGTTCCTGGCCCGGGCCGCTGTCTGTGTGGAGTTGGCACAGTCTCCCCATGTCTGCGTGGTTTTGCTCCAATTTTCTCCCACATCCCAAAGATGTGCAAATGAGGTGAATTGGCGTGTCTACACTGGCCCAGTCGGAGTGTGGGTGTGTGTGATGCACCTTGAGATGGAAGGGTGTCCTGTCCAGGCTGGGTCTGGCCTGGCACCCTGAGCTGCTGGATCAGCCCCAGCCCTCGCAACCCTAAAGTGGAATAAGCCAGTTGGGAAAGAATTTCTTACTTGTTTTTATTAATCTTTCTTAAATGTATATATAGTGCACACTTATTTCAATGTTTAATATTATATGGGCTTTGGGTCTTTATTTAGAAGTTTGGTGATATTTTTGTGACCAGAAATAAGCGTAGGAACTTAACTCTTGCTTATAACAATTAGCCTATGGTAAAACTGGTTTTCTCATATGTTATTTTGCTTAAAGCCACAGCTTCCAAGAACCTATCAATGACGTTGAGAACTTACCGTAGGAAATTTCACATGGTCCAACCTAATATAACGATGAATATAATCAACAGCCATGAACTCCCTCCTGCTTTAAGAAATATTAATGTACCTGTTCAGTCAGTGCCTTTCCTCCCATCCAGGGGCATCCCTGTCCCTCCTTTCTGGAGAGAACCACTGGTCTGGATTTGGAGTTTATTATTCCTATGAATGTCTTTATACATTTACTAAATATGTATATAACCCTAAACTAAATATGGCATTGTTTTGCACGTTTTAAACTTTTACATAAATGGTGTCATATTGTTTGTAATCTGCAATTTACTTTATTTGCTCAACATTATGTCTGTGATATTCTTGTGGGTAGAGGTAGTTTATGTGACTGCATTGCACCTTAATGTTTGTATGATTGTTTTTCATTTACTTCTTTATTCTGCCATGGATGGATACATTTAGATTATTTTCATTGTTTTCCTCTTAGAATCTTATACCCGTGTGAGTTTCTCTGGGCTGCAGACCTGGCAAAGGGCAGGTTGAAGATCATACCCACCCTCCGCTCTATCAGAGAGCGCCCGTTGTTTTCTAAACTGGATGTGCCTGTTTGCTCTCCCACACACTGCTTTTCACCTCCAACACTTGGAATCCCAAGCCTTTTACATTTTTTCCAATCTGATGGGTGTAAAATGGTCTCATTCTTCTTTGCAACACTGAATTCCAGGAGGCAACAGTGCAATTTGTGAGTAATTTGAGGGAAGAAAAAAGGTGGTGGTTAAAGAATTTCATGCCACATGAATTATAGTTCATCCTTCAGGAAAAGGCATTCTCAGATGTAGCTACTGCTCTAGAATTTTTATGTAAGAGGTGACAGGGATATAATCTGAATGGAAGCAGGAAAGAAGGAAGAAAATTTGTCTTGAAGATGCATTTGTGTGGCAAGCACACTGTTTTTTTTTTTAACTCAGTTTATATAGTGCAAATCTTCCTAAAGAAACTTTCATTTAATCTTTATGAAATATCGGGAAAAGTCCAATTATTCATACCAAAAATTTTTATTATTGTTACTATGAGTAGTCGCAGTAATATCTTTTTTGGGTGGCTTTAGGAGAGAGCTCATGAGGTTTATGGTGGAAGAGAGTTGCTAAAATTCTTCTGAGTGCCCCTCCCCATGGCACAGCCATTGTTCAAATGTGCAAGTGCTGTTTTGATTAATTAATGTTTTATTCTAGTCACAGAACAGAAAATAAAATTAAAACTAGCAGTTAGCCTTTACAAAAGCATTAAAAATCAAGTATCTAAGGATAAATCTAATAAAAAATGTGCAAGACCTCAAGGCCAAAACTTGTAGAACATTATGGAAGGAAAGAAGACCTTAATAAATATGAAGTATATCATTTTCATAGATCAAAAGACTCAAAATTTAAAGGGTGTCAGTTTTCCCCAAATTGACACATAGAATCAATATAGTCTTAAAAATTCCAACAACTTTTTATTTTGGTGAAAGCCAAGATGATTCTAAAACTTATGTGGAGCCCTTGAGCACCGGCCTACAATCCAAAGGGTTGCTGGTTCGATTCCCAGTCAGGGCACATGCCTGGGTTGTGGGCCAGGTCCCCAGTTGGGGGCGTGTGAGAGGCAACTGGTTGATGTATCTCTCACACATCAATGTTTCTCTTCCTCTTTCTCCTTCCTTTCCCATTTCTCTAAAAAGAAGTAAATAAAATCTTTAAAAAAACCAACCTTACATTGGAATGCAAAAGGCCAAAGCATTATTGAAAAAGAAAGAAAAAGAGGGAGAGGTTGGACCGTAAGATATACAGACTTATTATAAGCCATACACATGAAGATTGTGATATTGACATACAAATAAACCAAGGAAACAGAATAAAGAACCTAGAAATCGACCCCATTGTGTGTGAAATTTAATATGGCAAAGGAAGTATCTTAGTGCAGTGGGAGAAAGAATGGTCTTTTAAAAAAAAATTTCTGGAACAACTTTGTTATACAAAAACAAAGAAATACCATCTCATACTGTATGTAAAAAGCAATTCTGAGAGATTGTAGATCTAACATGAAAGGGAAGCAATAAAACTTTTAGAAGATAACATAAGAAAATATCTTCTGTGCAATATTTTCCTTGAGGAAAATTTTGATATATTAGGTTACAGTAAAACTAAGAATTTCTATTAATAGAAAGATACCATTAAGAATGTTAAAAAGAGTGGGAGAAGATATTTGCAACATACTGGAAAAATAAAAATTTAAAAAACACAAGGAGTTAGTTACTACTACACAAAAAGGGTAAAAATAAAAGTATGGCAATAACACAAAGTGTTGTCACTGACAACAAAGGGACCCAGTTCCTTCTGACTCCAAGTCTGTGCTCTTAACTTGAAAAACCTCAGCGAGCCAGCGTTGCTGTGTCTGTCCATCCTGTGAGTGAGCCGGAATCCTCTGAGGGAGATCTTGCAAACAATCTATTGGTCCCTTCCTAACTGTAAAGTGAGCTTACCTTGGTAGGGAAATAGCGGCTGAATTTGAACTTTTTCAGGGCCAGGGTCATGGAGTATGTCCCGAAGAAAAGGATGAAGGACAGGAGTGCCAGGTCTGGGATGAACCGGCAGGAATTCCCGAGCAGGTGCCCACCATAGTTCAGACATTCCTTCTTGCTCAGCAGGGACCAGTCCAGCGCTGTGAGGTTAAGGGGGTTGTACTTGAAGACCAAGCACAGGAGAGAAAGGGTCAGGGCTGTCCAGGTGGGTCAGACGTGGCCTCCCCTGCCGTGCCCAGGCAGCCCACACGCCCCTCCCGCTCTCCGTGGCCCTCCTGCACCATGGAGCCCGGCAACACAATGATGCTCCTGGGGACAGGCTGCTCTAAGGGATGACCAACGGAGGCTCCCTGGGAAGATTAGAAGCTGGGACGTGTTTTTTCATTGTGTTCTAGGGTGCACTGCTGTGCTAGCACGGAGGAGGAGCAGAGGGGGGATGCCTTCCCCCTCAAAAGGCCTTGCCCCCCGCTCAGTTAATCAACCTTGGTCCCGTCAGCACCTCCTTCCTGGAGTGCCTCACACTTACTCTCTCCCCACCCCTAGGGGCTTCCACATACGGGCTCACCCCCCACCCCATCAGAACCCTCTTGGGCCAGTTGCTTTGGCCATTTCCCCTTTTGGTGTCCCGAATGCCTAAAATCCAGGGCACACACAATTTATATATATAAATATATACACACACACATACACATACACACATATATGAATATACTCGTATATTATATATTCTTATGTATATTCCTATACATATATTCATATATACATATATATGTTCCTAAGTGTATATATGTGTGCACACATACACATATATATATACCCACATATATATGCATACATATGTTTCTGAGTATAATAAAAGGAGAATAATTTATCATAAAATTTAATATGTAAATGTTCAGGAAACTACATAATGAAAAAAATACTTGCAACTATAAAGGATGTTTTATTTTTTTATTTTTAAAAGATTTTATTTATTTTTAAAGGGAGGGGAAGGAAGGGAAAAAGAGAGGGAGAGAAACATTGATGCGCAAGAGATACATCAGTCAGTTGGTTGCCTCTTGCACGTCCCCAGCTGGGGACCTGGTCCACAACCCCGGCGTGTGCCCTGACTGGGAATCAAACCAGTGACCTTTTGGTTCACAGGCTGGCATTCAATCCAGTGAGCCACACCAGCCAGGGCAATAAAGGATGTTTTAGATTAAGAGGAATGTGGTGGTTTGACATAATGACAGTCTCCAATGAATCATGCCTCCTTGTGTCCAGGCTCCTTTGCAAGGTGACATTGACAGTTCTCCCATCAACAGGTTTCTCCACCCCTTTAAATCTGGGCCCCCCCTGGGCCGACTTAGGCCAATAGAATGGGGTGAAAGTGGTTTCTAAGCAGAGGCCTCAAGGAGCCTTGCAGCACCCGCTCTCACTCTAGAACCCTGAGACCACCATGCTGTGAGAAAGCTCCGGGTTGGAGAAAACCACATGAGAGAGGCGCCCAGCCATCTGCTGAATGTCAGGGTATCCCTCAGTCACCGGAGGGATTAAAAATGCCCCCTGCAGGGTAGCATGCCTCTACTGCCCCACTGGTCTGGCCCAACATCTCTCTGCCAGCTCATCTCTTGTGGTTTTCCTGTGCAATCCACACCCTCGCACCGTCTCAGCCCGATGGTCCACTCACTGCCCTGGAACAGCTTTGTGCTTTTCCTGTGTGCCTTTCTGTCTATGCTGGTCCCTCAATCTGGATTATATTTCTATCCATGGAACCAAATTTTCAAGCCTTTAAGACCAGACTGCATTCCAGTTTCTCCCTGAGGCTTTCCCCTCTGGCTTGGAAGTACGCATCTGGCCCGTATGACACATGGCATTCTTGGCCTGTGCTGCCCATTACCTTCCAGGTTCATCTCCACAGGCTTATTAATATACCATCAAGTCTGAGGGCGGAGCTATTACATTTGTCCCAATTTCCCCCCTTTGCTCCCCTCCACTTGGTACCCCTGTTCCCTCCAGCCATCCCCCGTCCTTAGTTCCTGTCTGTGGCTCATGCATATAAGTTATTTGGCTTCTCCACTTCCTATACTGTTCTTAACATCTCCCTGTCTATTTTGAACCTACCTATTTGTGCTTCCTAATCGCTCCACCTTTTCCCCCATTCTCCCCCTTCCCCCTCCCAACTGAATACCCTCCAAATAATCTCCATATCTTCCCTGGCTTTTGTGGCTCAGTGGATTGAGTACTGGCCTGCAAAGCAAAGGGTCGCTGGTTCAATTCCCAGTCAGAGCACATGTCTGGGTTGCAGGACAGGTCCCGACTAGGGGGCGCTCAAAGAGGCAACCACACATTGATCTTTCTCTCCCTCTTTCTCCCACCCTTCTTCCTCTCTAAAAATAAATAAATTTAAAAAATAATCTCCATATCTATGATTCTGTTTCTGTTCTGCTTGTTTGCTTAGTTTGTTTTTTAGATTCAATTGTTGATAGTTGTGAATTTATTGCCATTTTAATGTTTATAGTTTTGAGTCTCTTCTTTTTCTTATATAAGTACCTTTATCATTTCATATAAATAATGGCTTGGTGAGGATGAACACCTTCAGTTTTACCTTGTCTGGGAATCACTTCATCTGCCCTTCCATTCTAAATAATAATTTTGCTGGGTAGAGTAATCTAGGCTGTAGGTCCTTGTTTTTCATCACTTTGATACTTCTTGCAGTACCTTCTAGCCTGCAAAGTTTCTTTTGAGAAATCGGCTGACAGTCTCATGGGGACTCCTTTGTAGGTAACTATCTGCTTTTCTCTTGCTGCTTTTAAGATCCTCTCTTTATCTATAACCTTTGGCATTTTAATTATGATGTGTCTTGGTGTGGTCCTCTTTGTGTCTATCTTGTTTGGGACCTTCTGGACTTGCATGTCTATTTCCTTCACCACATTAGGGAAGTTTTCTTTCATTATTTTTTCAAATAAGTTTTCAATTTCTTGCTCTTTTTCTTCTCCTTCAAGAATCCCTGTTATTTGAATGGTGACACATTTGACATTGTCTCAGAGGCTCCTTAGCTTATCCTTGTTTTTTGGATCCTTCTTTTTTTTTTTTTTTCTTGCTGTTTTGACTGAATGTTTTTTTCTTCCTTGTGTTCCAAATCATTGATTTGATTCTTGGCCTCATTCACTCCACTGTTGGTTCCCTGTTGATTTTTCTTTATTTCACTTAGTGTAAGCTTCATTTCTGCCAGGGTCTTTTTTATACTATTGAAGTACCCAATGAGTTCCTTGAGCATCCTAATAACCAGTGTTTTGAACTCTGCATCTGGTAGATTGCTTCTCTCCATTTTGTTTAGTTCTTTTTCTGGAGTTTTCTTCTGTTCTTTCATTTTGGCTATGTTTCTTTGTCTCCTCATTTTGGCAGCCTCCCTGGGTTAGTTTCTATGTATTAGGTGAGGCTGCTTTGACTCCCTGCCATAGTAGCAGTGCCTGTTGTAGAAAAGCACATGGGTAGGTTGGATAAGGGTGAGCCTTAGGTCATTGCCAGGGTGGGGCAACCACGTGAACCAGGCTGACGGAATCTCTGCTATGGTGTTGCCACACTGTGGTTCTGTGTGGGGGAGGGCTCTGCTGTCTGGCCTCTGGAGTTGTGTCCAGAAGGAAGCTATCCCTTGGTACTCGCCCTGATGCCAGACACTTCAATTTCTCCCTGTAGCCACTGGTGCCATTACAGCTGCTGCCCCAGTGCTGAAGCCCAGAAGGAGAGAGTCTGTGTAAGTCTTAAGCCCATTGCAGTTCCTTTAAGAGGAGATGCCTAAGAACCTTGCAATTTCTTCTGCTGCCCCAACCCCCACTGGTCTTTACAGCCATAAGTTAGGGGGACTGATCTTCCTGGCAATATAACCCTGGGCTTGTCTGGTGTGGGGCTGCAATACCTCGCTCCTGAGGTATTTCTCCAATTTTTTCCACCTGTTTGATGTCTCCACGTCTCTGCCCCTCCTACCTACCTGGATGAATGTGACTTTTTAAATTCCTTGGTTGTCAGATTTCTATACAGCTCAATTTTCTGACGATTCTGGGTAATAGTTGTTTCATATTTTAGTTGTAATTTTTGCTATGGTTGTGCAAGCAGGCAAGCCGTGTTTACCTACACCTCCAATATGACCAGAAGTCCCCCAAGTCTCTTTCTTACAGGTTGTTTTATACCTCACAGCATACCCAGCACTTGCACATAATGACTGTTCAGACATAGGTGCTAACTGATTCCATTCTTCCTCTCTCCAAATCGGACACTGGAAAAAATCTTTGGTTAAATTGCCAACTGAGCAGTCAGCTATCTGTGTGGGGGTAACCGAAGGAGCCACCCTGCAGACATAAGAGGGTCAAGAATCTCCCTAAGGGCTAAAAGGTGCTACCTTTCACCTAGTTTTTGGACTTCCCACCATTGGAGCCTGAACATTTATACATTAAGTTTTTTAAATATATATTAAATTTTATTATAAATTACTCCCTTTTTATTCCTCCTAGTAATGAGGGCCACTGTTCATTATTATTAGAAAAAGCAGGCCAGATCTGAGGGCCTGGGGACACGTGAGCACAAATGACAGATCAGGTTCAGTAACCAGGAAGCATGAATAAATTTTGGGGGGCTGAGGAGGGGCATTGTTGGGCGGGAACTGGGGATCCTGGTGCGTAGAAAGACAAGGAAGAAGATAGAAAGGTGAATGGGAAACTTTGTTCATGGTGGTGTTTGCGCAGCCCTATTTATCATTCCTCACATCTACCTCTCCTTTGTGTGTGTGCATGTGTGTGTGATATTTATGCACATAGACCTAATGGAATGAGGCAGATTCTACAATGGGATTTGGACAGTAGATACATAAAATAAAAATGTGCATTGACAAGGCTCCACAGGTGACCATGACGGGCCCCTGGGGCTGCCCTTGCAAGTCGGGGCTGCCCTTGCGAGTCCGGGTTGCCATAAGGTAGCCTCAGTTTCCCAACTTTTCTCATTCTCCCCACAAACAAAAGCTACCCAGTATCTGATGTAAGAGGAAAGGACTTACCAGAGAAGTGTTGGTGTTTGGTGGCAGCAGGGTTGACGCATTGAACCCGGTGGTGTTTGCTGTGGGTGAGCACAGGACATAGAGGGAGTCAGCAGCTGCCGGGCAGGAAGGCGGCGACCACTCGCTCCAGGCCCCCACCCTTTCACATCGTCCTCCAGTTCCTTAGGGCCAAGGATGGCTCCATGGTGAGGGCAGCTCATTGAACTCTCGCCCCACTTCCCTCTCCTCAGTTTGTCCAGGGAAGACGGGGTGGTGGGGGAGCCCGGCTGCAGCTCTGACAGACCAGTTGGGCCAGACTAAGACAGCTCCTGTCTGATGCTGAAGGAGTGGCTTTAAAGCCTGACGTAAGGGATCCACTGCCAAGACACAAATCAGCGCATGACGGGCCCTGTGAATCCCTACCAGACGCTGGACCATGTCTGTGCTCTTAGACTTAAACATTTTCAAAGAACTTGCCCTATGCCATGAACCATGCCAAATCCTTACACACAACACCTGGCTATGCTCCTAAATCTGAAAGAAGCCTCCCCATTTTAAAGAGGAGGCAACTGAGGCCCAGAGAGGTTAAGAACTTGCCGATTGCCCAAGGTCACACAACTCGCACTTGAAGGAGCCATGATCAATCCCAGGCAGGCTGGCCCAGAGCTCCTACACCCCAGCTCCACACAGCAGCATCCTTCCCTCTCCTGCTCCTCTCTGCATGTGCTTCCTTTCTTTCCTGCCCCATCCATATGTGCTGTGTGGTGTGTGGGGTGGGTGGGTGTGTGCATGTGTGTGTGTGTGTGTGTGTATGTATATATATATATATATATATATATATATATAAACATATTTCTTTTTTTAGGTCAGTGGGGCCTGTAAGAACCCTTCAGCTTTGATATTATCTTCTCTAAACTGCCCCTCGAGTGCAAGCTGAGGAAAACTAAACCCTGGTCCCAGCCTCAGCATCCCTAACTCTAAGCGGAGCATGTGACTGTTCCCATCAGGAGTCATGCGAAGAGCTGAGAGGAACTGTGACCCCCTCCCTGGGGGATATGGCCATTCATTATAAAGGCGGCCACAGCAGGCCACGGGCTTCCTTCCCTCTCGCTCCTGCACGGCATGGGGAGAGGAGAAGGGCCGAGTCCTCCTCACCAGCCCCCCAGCCCCCAGTGCAGGCTGCCTGAGCAGTACCTCTGCGGCAGTTTTGAGGATGGAGGAGGCTGCCAGGCAGTTTGCTGGTAACAAATCTGAAATGCATTGCAAGCCCCACTTGGCTCCTGCTGTCTGTGGTTAGGAACCCAGAGGGAAGAAGAGGTTATTTTTGAAGGTTCCTTCAGCCCCCAACAAGCTGTCAGGTGGTGGATGTGACCACGGGGCCCCTCTAAGCTGCCCACTTCTGTGGAAATTGGGGCTGGAAGTGGCTGAAGGATTAAGCTTTGACCCAGGACACAGCACTCCTAGAAGCTGTACAACCCAGAGGATTGTTAACGATTATTCTGAAGGAAGCTTCATTTCATAGAAATCAGAGACATTCGCTGCCTTTCTTCACACCATTGACCAAGAGAACATGATGCACAATTAACAACAGAGAAGAAAAGGTGGGCAGGAAGGCCGACTCAGGGCGACCCACGCAAATGCTAGAGGGCTCCCAGCTCACGCCGAGCCTGGCGGGCTCGATTCCTTCCCGCTGCCAAGGCTGCCACGCCGGGCATTCCTTGATGTCTTCTGCTTAGGCTTAGCCATTCTTTCATACCAAGAACTTTGTAGGATTTATCTGAAAGCCATTTTGAGATGAAGGAAGAAATATAACATGGAAAATTCCAGAGAGTATCCAAGTATCAGATATTTTAAAAGTCCAGTGTTTGTAAATGATACTCACTTGGGATTGAAAGCAGCCAAGTCAGTGTGTGCAGCACATAAATAGAATACAAATCAGTTACAATGGAAACAAGATTAAATTTAAAAAGAGTGTCCCCAGAGTGCCGATGAGTGATAGTGTGCCAGAGTCTGGCTGGGTTTTGCGATAAAACTAGGAATATGGAACAATTAGTAAGCAAGTAATCCATGGACTTGGAAAGAGTCCACCTCCCCCCTCCCCTAGACAGTCTCCAAAATGTCTAGAACTTTCTTTTTCATATTCTCCTAATCAAAACCAACTAGCCCTGGGTCGAGTTCCCTCATTCTCTGCAAAGAAACTGAAAATCCAATTTTACTGGGGTTAGCGGTTAATAATGCGCCATTATTAATGAATAATTTAATGGAGCAATTGTTCTCAAACTTAAACATTAATCAGAATCACCCAAAAGGCTTGTTAATATGCAGCTGGCCCTACCCTAGGCTTCCTGATTCAGCAAGCCTGGGAGGTAGGGCCCAAGAATTTGCATTTCTAACGAGTTCTTAGATGGTACTGATGCTGCTGGTTGGGGGGGACACACTTTGAGAACCATGACAACAGCAAGATCCAAAAGGATGAGGCCACAGAGGCACCCGGGCAAGGCCCGAGGCGGGGGGCGAGGGGGGCGAGGGGATGGGGGGGGCACTATTTGAAGGCAGGTGAACTTCATTAAGCCTACCTGGCATGCCCCTGTTTCTAGGGCACCCTTAGATTTGTTTTTTTCTGTGGACACATGATGCTTAGAAGGGCCAAAAATCCACATTTTGGACCCTAGAATTTAGATTGCTTCTCAAAGAGAGCAAGGACATGTACTTCCAAAAGCTTTGTATTCAGTGCACAGAACCCTCCACCCAGAGGGCACCAGCAGCCCTGGGAGTGCCCTGCTGGGGCTGAGGCTGGGAGGCAGCACTGTCTGGATGGCAGGACGGGAGAGAGCCTGCAGGCGGGATCTCCTCGATTCCCTGTGCCAGCAACACGCTCCCGCTCAGGACAAAGGACAGCTTTACCTATCATTGGATATTGATGGAATGTTAAAATTAATGTTGGAAAAAATAAGTCTAGACTTTGTTATGAAATCAGTGCAGTGATGTAGGAAGAGAGGATACAACCACAACTACACTCCCTGAGGTCAGGACATCTTCATCTCCACAGGCCTAAAGTATGGAACATAGTAATAGTGCAATAAATATTTTCAATTGACTTATGATGAATTTTTTTATTGATAGTATTATTAAGGGGCTGAACAACACACTATCTACTTATTTCCTCCAACCCCATGGAACACCTCACGAGTTCTAGGAGACTGGCAAGGGCCAGCATTGAGGTCTCTTTTACAGCTGGGAAAACTAAGGCTCACCGTGACCTTGGGTGGTCTCTGGACCTTCGTTTGCTCTCTGTGTTTACAGCCTGGTGGTGCTCAGGCGTGTACAGCGGGATCTCCAGCCCCTGCTCTGTAGCATTCTGGACACTCCGGGCACATCCCATGGAAGGCTCTTCAGGACACGATCATGACTGAGGGGGGCCAGGGGTTCAGACCATGGGAAGCCCTATCTTTACAGGTGACAGTTTTTTTGGTCAGAGAAGAACTGTAAGAGCAGCGCTGAGCATTACCAGGTTGACCATTTGGTTGATTCAGCTTCCTGTCCAGTGTAGGGATTTTTAATAATACCTTTGGCAGATGGATATCTAGGTAGAGCCCAAGTAGCTTGAGACACCCTGAGGGGGCCCACACCTCTCAGAGTGGAGGCTCCCACCACTGTAAGTTCTTCCCCGAATTCCCTGAATCTGGTTCCCTGAGGCTCCCTGGTCCTCGTTCTGCATCCTGTGGTTACACAGGGTGAATCTGGCCTCCCTGTGACATGACAGTCCTTTCTCACACCTCTCCAACATGCCGAATAACCCCAGGGCCGCCAACAATTATTCAAATGACATGGTTGCCAGACCCGCTTCCACCCTGGCTGCCCCTCTCCCCTGGAAGTATCCCTGTCCGTAGGCATGTTCCTCCTCTGCTGTGACCTCACCCGATGTCCTATGGAGAGCTCACAGTATCCTGCTCTTGGAAGCTGGGAAGCATTCCTGACAGGCGTGGCCTTCCCCTCCCTCCACATGGAGGCGAAGCAGGCCTCCTTCCCGTCCCGGGGCACCCTTGTTCACCCCCGATCACAGCCCTGAGCCCTGGTATCCTGGCCCTAATTAGAGCTATTATACTTTCCCCTGGGTTTTCTTCCAAACACTGGTTTCAAAACTCTGCATTTGCTCCCTTGGGGCAGTAGGTGTCCTTCAAAGCAAGCTTACCCTCCTGCATTTGAGTAGAGACATGTGACGGAGGGAAGTGAGAAGGTGGGTGGGTGGGGGCCCAGGGCACCACTGGGGTTACCGGTCACCTGTGTCTGGAGCAACACACTCGCATTTGTAGGTGGTGATGGAGTCGGGCTTAAAGTCCACGTTGATGGGGTAGTACTTGAAGGCACTGATCATCTTCTTGATGGCATCGTAGATGAAGATGAAGCTGATGAGGGTGGAGAAGCCCTCCTCAGTGAAGCGGGTGATATACTTGATAATGAAGCTGGCGTCTGCGGCCACCAAGATAAGGCACTGGACAGCTGAGTGTAGGCCAATCCAGAGGCGGAACTCCATGTAGTCCAAGCCATTGCCTCTGGAAGGCAGAGGAAAGTGGGGGGCCTCCAGCCCAGCGTTCTGGGCTGTGCTTGGCTCCCCAGGCACACCCTGACTGGCTCGTCTGCCCCTGCTGTGGCACAGGTGGCCCCCGGCCCCACAACTGCAAGAGGACGGGAGACAGGGACAATCCCTGGGTGGGGTTGTCTTTGAGAACTCTGAAAACGGATCTCATGAGGGTGGCAGGAAGGTGTTAAGACATCTCATTTCTCACAATTTGGTCACAAACACCCAGAGTGGATGAAAAAAACAAGGTATTTCAGACAGAGCCGGGGCAGGCCTTGGAAATGGCCTCATGTTACAGAGGAGGCAGCTGAGCCTGGAGCGGGCACAGGAGCTACCCGGCCAGCACGTAGCCTTCTGACCTCCAGCTCATGACTTTCAATACACTGCCCTGGCTCCCAAGTCATCACTGCTCACAAGCAGAGTGGTATGAATTCTCTCCTCTCCTCTTGCCTGGGGGTCTCCCTATCAGCTGAGTGACTACGCGCTAAGATGGCTTAAAGGCAGGCAGCCAGAGGGAGCCAGAGGGACCCCCGGCAGCCTTCCGCAGAGGTTCAGACGGCGGTGGTGCCCCTCGCCCCTGCCGCCCCCTTGCGGCCACTCCGCAGCCCGGGGTTCAGCAGGCTGCCCCCAGTGCGAGGGCAAGCACCGGGGGCCACCAGGAACACCTACTTGCTAAAGTCAAAGAGGAGCTTCTCGAAGATGAGGATGGGCCCTGTGCTGCTCAGGATGATGAGAGGCTGTCCCGAGAAGAGGCAGAACAGGGAGCCGGCCATGGCAGTGCCCAGGAAGCTCTCCATCACCCCCTGGGGGCACAAGGAATGTGAGGCTCCGTGGAAGCAGGAGAAGGGGTCTCTGGGCACAAAATGGAACGCAGCCCCCTCCCCAGGGGCCCAGGCCACGGTGCTCATCCTTTATTCCAGGCCCTCTGCTTCCCAAATCCTGCGCCACAACGCCCACAATCGCCAGCACCACTCTCTCTCATTCCATTTGGGAGAAGGTCTCATGTGACTCCCTTCGGGCACCCTAGGACCTGGAAAACAGGGCTGCGGATGGCTCTGCTGGTCCCCATGCCCATTCTACTCCCAGAGGACAGCCCATTTCTCTCTCCAATCATTTAGTCATTGAAGCATCTGTTAGGTGCTTTTGGAGGTTCGACCATCCATTCATTCAAAATTCATTAAGTGCCTACTATGTATCAGGCATTGTGCTAGATATTGGGGACCCATCAGCAGACGAGACAAAGCATTTTCAGACTAGTGGGAGATATAGACAAGTAATCAAGCAATGTCCACACAGCAGAGTGTCTTAGCCTCAGCACACTGACATTTCGAGCTTGATAACTCTTTGTTGTGAGGGGCTGTGCTGTGCATTGCAGGATGGTGAGCAGCACGGTGAGCAGCACCCCTGGCCTCTACCCACTAGATGCCAGTAGCAACCCCTCCCCGTTGTGACAACCCAAACTATCTCTAGATATTGTCCCATGTCTCCTGGCGGCGGTGGGGGGCGGGGGGCAATGTTCAAAATCATTCTTTGTTGAGAATCTCTGCTAATGAGTGTGATAAACTGGGATAAGGCCAGGGCACACACAGTAGGAGTGAAGCAGAAGTCAGGAAGGCCCGTCCAGACATACATGGGCCTGGAACCATATGACATATTGGTCCCTATCAGTATCCAGAAACTGATACCCGAAACTTGAGCAGGGTATTGACTAGGAAAAGAGGGCAAGTGCAGTGATCAGGAAGAGCATCCCAGGAAGAGGGAACAGCGTTTACAAAGGCTGGACACGCAGGGAGCATGCCTTGAAGAACGGAAAGGTGGTCAGGATTGGTGGAAAACAGAACGCAGAATGAGCGAGGAGGTCAGGAATCTAGGAAAGGGAGTCCTGGGGGATGAGGTGTGAGGGGCCTGTAGGACCATGTCCGGAGGGCCGCTCGGGGAAGCTGGAGCTGTGAGTCGATACATGAACAGCTGGGTGAACCATGGTTCACTCGCTGTGCCGGTGGAACAGCAGGTCTGGAGGGAAGATAATGAAATGCAAAGTAGGCCCTGTGAGCTGGGGGATCCCGAGGGGCCGCTGTACAGACATGCCCAGAGGTGGCTGGGTGTGGGGGCTGCAGCTCAGGAAAGTGGTATGGGCTGCAGGCAGGCATTCATCGCAATTCACCGGGGAACGGGGATTTTCACCTTAATGTTCTGAGCTTTCTAATGGCTCTCTCTGGAGCGCCCCCTTCAGAGAAGACCCTTGCTTGGAGCTCAGGCTAGTGTCTGCTGAGTGGAAGTTTCCCCCAGGGAGCCTTGTGTCATTGTTGTGGTAACAGTTTACCATCTTTCTAAAAGTGTCTTAACTCCAAGCTAAGAATTTAAGGTTAGTTTCTTTAAAAAAAAAAATAGTGTGGGGAGAAGGCCACAATTAGCAGCTTATTAACTGTGCTGATTAAGTTCATTCAGTCCATCAGTGGGGAAAGTATCAAACAGAGCAGATGATTCCCCTTAAAAGTTTGCTCCACTTACATCGTCCTTAAATTTTGTCGTTAGTAACATGATTTAGTCTTATATCTTTTAATAAAGTGGGCTTGTTACTAATTTTTTGAAGGGTAAAGGATTTTTCAAAGTGGTAGACTGAATCTGGATGGTAGATGAAACCCAGGATTTGGCGTGGGGATTACGGGACGAAGCTCCTTACCGCCACCTGGTGGCAGAATATTTTACTGAGGTTTGCACTCTAGGCTCTGGCCAACAGCGTGCACACACCTGGTAATTGTCAGTGGCATCCCCCAGAAGCCCGCCAAAGGTGATGGCGTTGGTGATGCAGCCCAGGTAGATGAAGAGGATGGCAGAGATGGACTGAATGTGGATGCCATCGTAGAAGTCACTGAGGAACCAGGGCAGCTTCCTCTTCACATCCAGACACAGGCCACCGAAGAACCTGCTTAAGACAGGACCGAGCGCTGCTTTCTCACCACACAAATAGTGCAGGTGCAGGGCTATTGACCAGAGTCTGCAGAGTCTGGGCTGAGGAAGGGGGCTTGGCTAGGAGTGCATGGGGGTGGGGGTCTTTCCACCAGAACATTTGAGACCAGGGAAGAACTCTCTCAGGACTGAAAGTCTGTGGTTGGCGCCATCTCCTCTGGGAAGGGTGAGCATAGGCAGCCTGGACGGGAGAGGGGAGGCCTGATGGGAAGGTGCCCTGGGGAACGGAACACGCCCTGGGAGACGGAAATCCTGGGTCCATCGGCAGCCGTTCTCCTCGGTCCTTGATCATGCACAGGGCACCTGTGCTTGGTAAACACAGCTGTGTCCAAATTTAGGAGACAGAGGCATCCCAGATTATAACAAAGATTTGTTGTGTCCTCCCAAAACATATATTGAAATCTTCACCTGTGAATGTGACCTTATTTGGAAATAGGGCCTTTGTAGACGTAGTGAAATTAAGATGGTGTTATTAGGGTGGGTCCGAATTCAGTATGGTTGGTGTTCTCAGAAGAAGAGAAAAGTGCCACAGGAAGACAGAAGCACAAAGAGAACAGCACGTGACGACAGAGGAGGAATTGCAGCAGCTGCCGGAGGGGAACGGCGAGGACTGACGCAGCACCAGAGCTACGGAGACGGAGACGCAAGGAAGGGTTCTACCGAGAGGCTCAGAGGGAGCGCAACCCTGCTGACGTTTTGATTCAGTACTTCTAGGCTTCAGAACTGTGAGAAAATAAATTTCTGTTGTTTAAACCACCTAGTATGTGATACCTGGTTATGGCAGCCCTGGAAAACTAAGAGAGGTAACAAAGGGTGTCTAGAGAAAAGTATGAGTTCTTCCACTTCTGTGCTAGGTCCCACTTCCCTTCTCCTCGGGGAGCTTTCTGGGGGGTGCAGGAGGGGTTTTGAGGGTAAGGGACGGAAAAGAGTACATTGACCAGACCTCGTGGCCAGGCCCCACAGAGCGGTGTGGGTGCTGCTGGGAGAGGCGGGGGAGGTTCCTATGGGTGGGTGGGTGGGAGACACGTCTAAAGGGTGCTGGCATCACTGTCAGGCCTGGGGTGGGCACCTTCCTGTCCAGATAAGCTCTTCCCCGATTTCATGCACGGCTGGCATTTCTCTGTCATCGCCGCTGCTCCCTCCGCCGACCCCACCACCGCCGCTGCCACCTCCAGGGCCACCTCCTGCAGTCGCGCCGCCTCCCGCCACAGAGCCGTTCATCTGACCCAGCTCGGCCAGGGAGAATACGGATTTCCTGGAAGAAGAGGGACGTGGGACAGTGTGGCTCCCAATCCTAGGAAGGTCTCACCCCCTACGGCACTGTCCCCAGAATACCTCTTACTTCTCCAACAAAAATCATAAAATATCTTAAAATACAGAGGAAATGCAGGAAATGATAGACTGATACCCACACATAAGTCACCCAGCTTTTATAGATGTTCAAATTCAGCATATCTATTTCTGATTTTTTTAAAAAGAGAAATAAAATGAGAGTGGAGGGAAAAAAGTCTAAGTCCATGTACACTGACATCTTCCTTTTAAATCCCCCCTGCCCAGAAAGAAAACAGCCAGACTTGAAGCTTCATTTGTATCACACCCCCAGCTGCCACCCCTCCGTTCGCACGCTCACCTCTTGTCCGCAGAGGGCACCTTCTTGGGGGGCTCGATTCGGATATTTGGGTCCCATTCTCCAGGGGGAAGGACAATGACCTCATCCAGAAACTCATCAATCCCAGCGATCAGATCGTCCCGATTGCGGGCTTTGTAGGCCACGTCGCTGAAGAGCTGGCAGCGAAGAGAAAAAGAAAGGTCAGCCCTGGCCTAAGTCCCCTTGTTACCCAACTCCTGGGAGCACACCGCACACAGTTTCAAAGAAAATCACTTTGAACGATTGCTGTTGCTGCCGATTTGCTCTGTTTTTGAAAGGAGAACAATAGCTCAGCAGGTGTAACATGGCCCAGTGGAAAACAGCAAGGTCTCTTATGTTCCTGCTTTCACACTTTGGTTGCGTGACCTAACCTTTCTACTTTCAGTTTTGCACAGAGCAAGCTCATTGGAAAACCTGTGCAGAGCCCAGTCTGAGAAGCTCAGCTATTTTAAATCTGTTGATAACTTCCTAGCCCTTCATCCTTGGAGGGTCAGGCTGCCTCATTCCACATTGTCTCCAGAGGGTTTTTTCTGACTTTCACATCTGATTGGATCATGCCTATGTTTAAAGTCTGCTGAGCTCCCATCACTCTGGGAACAGAGTGTGAACTCTCGCTCCACCCACAGCCTCTGTACGGTCTCCCACTCTCCTCTCTGTTTTCCCTGCTGCTCTCGAAGCTCTAACACTGAGCTGACACTCAACAGCTTCCATCCAGCTTCTCTGTCTCTGAATCTTGGCCCCTGTTCCCTTTGTCTGGACTGCCCGCCTCCTAGGCCTGTGCTGGGTCTACCTACCTCCTGCTTGTCAACAGCTTTAAAGCCCCACATACGTGAAGTCTCCCCTGACTTCCTGGATTATACAGGGTCTGGCACAAATAACACTCTCTTTTTATCACATAAAAATCTTTTATTACAAAATCATAAGCATGTAATTTTGTAACATAAGAATACCACACTCAAGCACACCATATGACATTTTAGGTGAAATGTTCAAATTGTTGTCCATCTCACGCAAGACATTCCTGTACCCTACCAACCACACTCAAGCAGGCGTTGCTTCTGCCGGACCCTGTAGGTATGTCTCCTCTACTCAGTTGATGCTCCTAAAGGGCAGTGACTATTCCCTCATTCTTATAATCCTCAGCGCCCTACACACAGCCCGGCACACAGAAGGTATTAAAATGTGCCTGTTGGATAAATGAATGAGTGAAGGTACAGTGCCTGATTCAGGAGCCACGGCATTCGGGAATACGTGTTTGTTACCACTCACATCGTCTACCATGAGGGTTGCAATGGCTCGGCCAATTTCATTGTAGGACTTTGCTCTCCCACAGGGTCCCAGCAGTATGAACAGAAATCTGCAAAGATGAAGGAGAGGAGGAGGGAAGCGAAAAGGAAATAGAAGCAGGGGAAGAGAAGGATTCTCTGTCTCCAAGCAATATCCACTTAATTTATTAACTGGCTGTAAACTTGTCCCTTCCCTTCTTTTGACTCCCATGTTCACTTTGGAGAGACGTCGCCTCTCCATCCCGCTAGCCGCCCCTTGAGCACCCTCCCCGTGCCCCGGTGTCCCAGAGCCCACCCAAAGGCACCTCTCCCAGCAGCTGGCTCCTGCTTTAGAATGATTATTGTGAATGAACTCTCTAAAAACTCTCACCTAGTCAAGGTTTCCCTCCCCAGCCAATTCCCTAACTGTCCTAGGTTTTAGGGGTGTCTCCAGCAGCACTGTGTGCTGACTGCAGGGACAGCTAGTCGCCTGAGGACAGGTGGGGTGGGCATATTTCAAGGCCCTCACCTGGTGGGGACGGGCACCTCGGTCACTCCTCCCAGCATGGCCGACTGGATGAGACGCACGAAGGCGATGAAGGGCTGGTCCAGGAAGTCCACCTCTCCCACTAGCACGTTGGAGGCTTCTGAGTCCTTGGGGATCTTCTTCATGAATTTGTTTTTCCGCTGGTCAAGGAGGGAAAAAGAGACTCCCATGGATACTCACATGCAGGGGTTCGGCTCCCTCTCCCCCACCCCCTTCAGATTGCTGTGGAGGCCCAACTTTGAAAAGTCCTCCCAGCCTTTCTCAAGAGACTCAAAGAAATAACCACTCTCCCCCATTCTGCAGATGACACGCAACGGGTGTTAACCCCAGGGACCAACTAAACCTTTGCAAATGGGAAGGAACAGGCAATGACTTGGTCCCTAGGATGTTCTTTGACGGGTAAAAAATGTGCTCAACTCAAATGTCAGCTGAGGGGTCAGAGAAGAGGGCCCCGGTCGCATCCCCCAGCCTCTGCAGCTCACACGGAGGGGGTCACGGCTCTTACACTCCAGCTCCCCACCCCTCCCTCTCTGCCTCCCCCTGGGCCGCTGCGGAAGGGATGTGCTGGGCCCTTCCGATAGCAGGGCAGATGCACTTTTTTTTTCACTTTGCCACCTGCTTCCTCGCTGACAGGAACCCCTGGACCACGCCTCCAAGTTTGTGGGAGACTTCCAGACCTCCGAGTCGCCTGCTTGGGACCTCCCAGGAAACTCATAACTTCTGAGACTTGACAACTCTGACTGTCCAGGTGCCCTCTTGCCTGTCCCTCCAGCTAGTGTCTGTTCAGGCCAGGAAGGTCAAATAGAGAGAGCAAGTGGCATTTGAGGGGAGGGGCGCTGGAGACAAGCCCTCTTCCCAAACTCATTTCCACCGTCTGCGTTTTTGACATCATTCCTAGGCTAAGACACTGGCTCCTCCTGAGTCCTCTTTTATGATGGAAATGCCCCCAGGAAGGTCACATACAAGCTTACATCTCAGGATGCACTCATTTTTCAGATCACTTTCCCTTTGGGCAGCCAAGGGGATGGGCAAGGGACAGGGATAGCTTAGTAGCGCGTAGGTGGGGAGAAAGCATGCGGGAGGGCGGGGCAGGTGGAAGTCCATAGTGGCCAACAAAGGTAGGAACGGCCCAGAAGATGGTGGTGAGCACTCCAGAGAGATCCTATGGATGCCACAAGTTCGCCACCCATTTCTCCTGGGTCTCTCCTGTGGGCACAGAAATGTCCGTTTCTCGTAAGCTCAGTGAAGACGCAGGTGCTTTGCGCCGCTTTCTATAGCAAGGAGGGGTCAGTTGAGGGCGCGGGCTTGGCCGGCAGGCCCAGAGCCGCCCGACTCTCTCACGGAGGGTGTGATGCCCAGGGTCGGGGGACTGCCAGCGTGGGAAAAGGCGGGGAGCAAGGGCTGCACCCTTGTAATCTTTTAAATCCAATCAAAAATGAAAACTCTCTACAACTACCCAGGAAACAGCCCCAAGGACTACTAATGCCGTGAGAACAAGCGAGGGCAGGAGTTAACGGGTAGGCCAGAGTCCCCACAACTCAAAAAGTCCCTTTGTCCCAGCTGCAGTCAGCTGAGTCATGAACAGCGTTCTTCAGGGTGGAGGGCTTGGTGTGCCAGGGCGGCCGAGGCCGCCTGCCCGCTCTGCGCCCACCGCATCAGGCGGGGAGCAGGTCCAGGGGACAAGGGGGGGGATGGCAGGAGTGCCCTGGAGAACGAGGCTTTGAAAACAACACAGCTTTGGGGCAGCCCAACAAGCACCCATAATCCAGGAGAGGAGAGAACTTGAGACAGGGTGGTGGTCCTCCCTTGTCGGCAGTGATACATTTGGTGAGGAGCCCGGTCTGGATGGTGACATCCCAGAAATGGGCCATGCTGCTATTCTGGCCACGCTGGCTTGGCCACACTGGCTTGGCCACGGTGTGGACCAGGGCCCTGCTGACCCCTCTTCCTGAACCATGAGGAGTCTGGTCCAGCTCTGCCGAGTGACTGCATACAACTCTGCTCTCTGAACCTACCCTCTGCTCCCAGGGAACCTGCGGGACTGCCCCGGGTGGTCGTGGAGCCATAGCAATGGAGCCTGCAGAGCAACCACCTCTGGCCTTGAACGTAAAGAGCGCCCACTGGTGGACAAACTGCTGCTCCCACAAGCCATTGCTGCTGCATACTGAGAAGCAGCATGACGTGATCAGTTAGAAAAGCTGGACCTTGGGCACTGCACTCCTATCCCTAAATCAAGGCAGCACTCCCTGGGAAAGTGACAGCTAGTATTCTTCTTACCACTTAGACATTAATTAAAATAGGTTGTGAATGACCTTGACTAGGCAGCGCTTCCTTATCATGGCTCCACTGCTTGTGCGCATGACTGAACTCAAGTGGGGATCTTCTCTGAATAATATCCCAGAATACTTGCTCCTCGGTCACTTCCAGGTGAAGGGCTCCAGAGGCAGACTGCCTGGGTCAAATCATGGTTCTGCCATGCTTCGGCCGCGTGAACTTGGGTGTGTTATTTAACTGCTTTAAGCCTCGTGTTCTCCTCGGTAGACTGGAGATGATAGTAGTACCTTCATGACTCACAGGAAACGCTTGGTATGGTGTAGTGCATGCAGTGTGTGTGCATTTTAAATGTTAGTTGACGCTGTTATCATTGTCAGTTCATTATTTTGGCCACCAAAGGGCCCTTGGGACCCTGACATGAGGGACTGCTTTTGTTTTGCCTGCCACCAAACTTGGGGTGCCTCGGAGGCCAGGCCCTCACCCAAGGTCCTGAGAAGTCCTCACCAAATTTCCGGTTTCTTTCATCACCTTTCTTCCTACTCCTGGGGGCCCAAGAAAGGGGCCCACGACAAGAGGGCTTCTGCAGGGGTTGTGAGGGAAGCTCCTCTGGGCTTCCCCTCGGGGTACAGTCAGAGGGTCCCTGGCTGTGGGCCTTAGAACATGGGCTCAGCCTGTTCGTAGGATTCTGATCTCCCCCAGAGGATTGCAGCCAAGCTGGTGGGAGATCAGAACTGGCTTCATCCTGGCCCGGCCAAGGGGAAGACACACTGTTGGGCAGCCCCATTGATTCACTATCACTGCTGTCCCCACAAAGAGGCCCTATTGCTGGTCTCTCCCAGCCCAGACCCCCAGTCCATCTTTAAAGGTACGTGTGTGTCACACAGGAGGCGAAACTCTGTGTGCTGGTCTTCTCTCTCTAACAAAGCTCAAGCTCAGAGACAGCTGGCACTTTACGAGACCATGCTTCTCTGGCCCGCACACCTCCCAGAGGCCGGCACAGAGCCAGTACTGGGGGCTCAGTCAATACCCAAGCGATGGACTGGGCAGCATCCCCAAGGCAGCCCAGAGATTCCCACCAACCCCACCCCCACCCCCGTGTCCTTCCTGGAGACTCCTGTTCCTTCAGGAGAGGGAGTCCTGCCCAAAGGGGCTCCCTGCCCATGAAACCAAAGGCTTCATCACGCCCTGGCCCTTCACCGCAGCCCAGGGCAGGGGCTTTACTACCTGGTCAGTGTTTGGGGTGCGAGAAATATCATTCATGCTTCTGCTCTGGGCATGACCTAGGAGAGAAGGGAAAACACGCCCATCAGGAGAAGCCAAGCTCTCACAGGTCTTTTCCCCTGGGTCCTTACACGTGTCTCTCTCTCGTCATAACCACAGGGAGAGCCCCTCTCCTCTCATCCCGCAGCCCCCGTGAGCGAGCCTCTGTTCTCTTTTCTTCTCTTCAATGGCAGCTTTGTCTTTTAAAAGTACTTTCTTTTAAAAAAATTCTTTTTTAAAAATTCTTACCCAAGGATTATTGATTATTGATTTTCCAGAGATAGAGAGAGACACCAATGTCAGAGAGACACATCCATTGGTTGTCTCTGTACATCATCCAACTGGGGATCAAACCCACCACTTAGGTATGTGCCCTGACCAGGGATCGAACCTGCAACCTTTTGGTGTACAGGATGATGCTCCAACCAATTGACCCTCGTGGCCAGGGCAATGGCAGCTTTCTTAAAAGAGCTGCCAGACTCCAGGTTCTACTTCTGCCTTCTTACTCCTCAGCCTGCTGCATTCTCGTCTCTACCCTCCACCCCCAACCCTGTGCCCCATCCCTCCGCCCCCATCCCTCCGCCCTGGGTAGAGACCAAGATGTGATGTCTGTTCTGTGCCAGACCCTGGGGGTGGATAGGGACACTGATACATTATCAGGCCAGGACTCAGGTGTCACTAAACTTGGAATTTTTGGAGAGCGAAGATGAGTTTCACCTCCGTCCCCCATGACCCATGACAGCCTTTAAAGATGTCCAGGGATTTGGGGCGGCAGAAGGAGGAAAGTGGGCTTCCCACGGGGAGAGCAGTGGCAGCGGCTTATTTGGGCTGCCCAGTAGTTCCTCCCTTTGGTTAAGGCAGGAGCCAGTCAGCCAGGTCCACGGGTTGTGTTCAGGCCTGTTATGTCTTGGTTTCCTGTGGCTCCCTCGCCTTATTTCCATCCAGGATCCTCTCCTGCTAGGCTCCCCCCCAGGGTCTTGTTTTGCCCTCTCTCCCTGCAGAGGCTTTAACCCCTTCCATCCGTGGTCAGTCAGACCACTCCTGTCTCTTCCACATCCACACCTAGGCCGAGGATGCCCACGGGGGGTCTCTAGGGCAGCTTTCTCTCCTGAGCCCCAGACTCCTCTAGCACCTTAGCGGGGAAACCAAACTCACTGTCTTCCACCAGATGACTCCCCCCACAGATCCTACGCCACCCAGTGCCGCTCCCTCCCTCCCATGGGCAATCAGAGCCAAGATCGACTCTCCTTTTTTCCTCACCTCCTTCCTCCCAGGCATCATCTCCCCGCTTGGCCTCCCCTCTGTTCTTGTTCTCACAACCCTGAGGCAGGACCAGTCTCTTGCTTCCAATCTCCCCTTCTAGTTTATCGCTTCTCAAATAAAAATCTGATCAAGGTCTGCCCCTGCTTAAAACTTCTTAGGGGTCCCCACTACACTCAGAATAAAGGTTGGGCTTTTTTTGCAGGGCACAGAGGTCCCTTCAATGGGACCCTCTTTCCTGCAGACCCTACATTCCTGGTGAACTGAGCTGCTCTGTTTCCCTGAATACACAGCACCGCCCACCCCACCCCAACACACAGTGCCTTCCTTTTGCCTGCTGTTTGCGTCCTTTGCTTAGAACATGTTTCTTCTTCCTGGAAAATGCCTATTTATTCTCCAAGACTGAGGCTAGCGATCCTCCTCACTGAGCTTTCCCGGGCACCACCTTGGTAGGGGGCAGCTGCCCACAATGCTGCAGTCGCTTGCTCATGCCTTTTATCTGGGTCCCCACCACTGCAGCGCAGCACGGGGTGACCTCATACACCGAGTAACTGAGCTGGAGGCCCGCCTGAAGACATTCGCTGCCTGCTCACTGCTGCCCCCTGGCCTCCCTATGTGGAATAACCAAGTCCAAGGGAAACTAAGAGGATCCCGGGTCACTGAGAACAGAGGAAAAAGCCTGAGGCAAACTGCAGCTGAGGCTCTGGCATGGGCCACGTCTCCTCTCAAGTCATCCCTCAGGCCAGGTAGGGGCACAGCCCTGGGCTGTGCTTGTTCATATATTGGCATTTCAGTAAATGTATTAAAGGAAGACAGGATTGTTATTTTTTCACTGCCTTTCTTTTTTATTTTCTAAGTTCCCTCTTCTCTTTGCCTCACAGCTCACTGCTCCTGTTCATCCCTGATGAACTGCTTGAAAGCACCCTGTCTGCAACCAGACACCTCACAAGCCCCCTCCCCATTCCTGGCACTCAGGGGGCAGTGGCTGCCAGCGTTTTATTGTCATGGTGGCCCGAGACTATTACCCAGTGGTGGAACATTCTCTGTCCAGGGGGAAAGTAACTCACCTGTTCTTAATTCTGTTTCTAGGAAAGCTTCTTACCAAAAACAGGGCTAATGATCGATTTTACAAAAACAAAGGTAGGGCCCTGGCTGGTGTGGCTCAGGAGCAGACTGAGGGCCTGACTGTGGATCGAAAGGTTGTTGGTTGGATTTCCATTCAGGGCGCATGCCTGGTTTGTGGGCCAGGTCCCCAGTTGGGGGCGTGCAAGAGGCAACAGATGATGTTTCTCTCACACGTCAGTGTTTCTCTCCCTATGTCTTCCTCCCTCCTCTCTAAAAATAAATAAATAAAATACTTTTTCAAAAAAAGCAAAAGTAGAGAGACTAAGATACAACCGCCTAGCATGTAGGATGGGGTATTGATTATGTGAAGACTTGATTTAGAGCTGCATTTTTCAGAATAATTATATAGAAAATTGTGGTAGTAAATTAGGCCCTGAGAGCAGGCCAAGTTTCAGGGCACCGTTAGAGCTTTCCTGATGTCGCCCTGAGAATGCTAGACGGATCCTGGGCTGTATCTCCTCTGCCTTCGCAGGTATGGGAAAGACGACATCCCACAGCTGCCACAGCCCAGGCGAAGGTGACACGAAGAAGCTGTGGCACGGTGGTGGAGGACACACTCACACAGACGGCCGTAATTCGTGCTTTGCTGCATCCTCAGGTCCTCGGTGGAGCGGCGTAGGCTGGGGCCGGCTGTGGGGCTCCGGGCCGGGCTTCGATCTGAGAGGAGGAAGAAAGGCAGTTTGCCTCAGCAGCCCGGCTGGACTGGCGCAGCCTCTCCCATTAATGTGGTCCACAATTTATCATCATTTCACCTAAATAAAGCTGGGCTACAAGACCTGTCTTGTCGCCTTCCAGTAACAAGGCTGTTTTTGGTTGTTTTGGTTTTTGTTCTTGTTTGGGGGGCTTTTTTTGGAAGCAAGTTCATAGTCTGAACAAGATTAGAGAAAATATTTGTACTGTTGAAAATGAGGTAGACAACCAAGTGCTTAAAGAGGAACAGGTGTTGCAGGCACAGTGGCTTCATCCCTGATTGCACCACTTATGGGCTGCATGACCTAAGCAAGTAACTTAACTTCTCTGCGCCTCAGGCTCCTCATTTGTAAAATAGGGATGACAGGAACAGTACTTAGTCACAGGGTTACGTGAGGAGGAAGTGAGTTAACGCACTTCAGTGCTGGAACATGGTAGGAGCTGAGTATGAATCTGCTGTTATGATATACTAAGTATGCCGCCATTTCAAACAGTTCATCTAATGAGATGCCTCAAAGCTCCTTATTGAGCAACTTTATCAGCTCTGTTCTGCTTACTGCATTTATCCGACAGGTCCAGCAAGGTTAGTGTCTGGGCTTCATGACTCAGGTGTCGAGAGTGGAGGGCTGCCAGTCTGAGATGTGTGGAGGGAACAAGCCACTCTCCCTAGTGGCCACCAGCTTGGTAGCCAGAGTGACACCAGCTGCCAGGTCTCTCAGCCCTGGCACCTCGAGATGACCCATCCCCTTCTACCATCCTGATGTGCTTCGCTTTCTGCTGAGGCTCCTGACTCCTCTTAGGGGGTTCAGTGGGAAAAACCAAGCCCTTCCCATAAGCACCCCATTTCCACAGCATTTGGCTACCCTGACTGCTAGTAAGAACCTCCTGAGGAGCTTTCTAAACAACCTGTTCCCAGGCCACACCTCAGACCAAGTGAATACAAGTCTCCAGGGTGGGGCCTAGTCCTGAGGACACATTCCATATTCCCAGGTGACTGAAACGCACAGCCCAGGCAGAGAATCAGCTCTTCCTAGAAGTGGTTCTGCTCTGGTGGTGGGGACGACATTGGGGTGTGGCTGGGGTTGCTGCAGGCCTGCTAGAGGAGGCAGTTGAGGAACCCCCAGAACCTCAGAATTTCTCCAGGACTGTGAAGTCTGGGAAGCTTCCAAATTGCCAGGACTCTCTGGTCACAGACATGGGCTCACCGAAGCACCGGGGCGGACACCAGCCCCCGCGGGCCCAAGGCCCACCAGCCCGTGGCTGGACTCACTGGCAGTGGAGGAGACGGACTTTCCGATGTCGACCAAGGAGCGGTGGATGGGCTTCTTGGTTTGGTGACGGTGTTTCCTCAAGAGGACGTAGCTGACCCTCTCCCGGAGTTCTGGCCGCAGGAGGCCGTCCTCAATTTGCTTCTCAATGACATCATCTAAATGGGAATCAAACACGCCTCATCCATCTCTCTGCGTGGGGATAAGGTGACCAGGGGTGTGGGAGGTTTCAGTTACCTCTGTTATTTGCGGGATTAAAAGTGAGCCGAAGGACGCAGGGGATGGGGAAATAGTCCTGGCTTTGACGCAAGCTATCGAAACCGGCAAATCACGAACTCTCGGGCTCCTGCGATGTAAAACACTATGTGCGTGCACGTGTGCGCGCCCTTACATGAGTGCATGTTTATGTGTGTGGAATTCTCTGCTCTATCAATTCTATTGTCAAAAGTAAATGAAATCATACACATGAAAGTGCCCCAAGAAACATAAAATACTGTGTTAAATGGTTTTAGTCCTAACGTGAATTCTCTTTAGGAAAGTATTTTGGGTAAAACACTTCTGGCAAAATTGAACGTGCTACAGCAAAATTCACAAAAAGTTTTAGGAATGATAAGACAAGACAGCCACTCCCTTTGCCACTTCACTAAATGAGAGCGAATTTCCTAAAGATGAATGATGATTCATTTACCTGGACCAGAAACAGGTTGCCATGGCAACAGGTATCTCCGCCCACACTAGGAAGCCCCACTCCCTTTTGCTGCCTTGCTAGATGCTATTTCCGAGGCTGATCTTTTCCTCCGTTGGAACTCTACGTGGGGCTGAAACTTAGAGCGACTGTGATTTGCCTTGGGAGCATCAGACCCAAAGCCTGGTCTCTGCAGAATCAGGGAATCAGGTAGGTGTCAGAGGTGAGATGTCACATAGACAGAGGTTGGGCAGGAGGCAGGAGGAGAAGAGCTGCCCTGTTTTGGGGGGACCTCAGCGGCCCCTGCCTCACCTATGATCTGTGGTAAGGAGCCGCTGTCCAAATCCAGCAGCACCGTTCCGGTCTGCAGGCAGGTCCGGAGCTCGAAGAGGCTGTGCAGGGACAGTGTGGCCACGTGGGGCTTGCTCCAGCGTTCGCCTCCTTCCTCCACCTTTTCTTCAAACTTTATCCACCTGGAAGGGGTAAGGGCGGGGCTCAGCATGGTCAGTGTCCTCAGGGGGAGCCCCTAGCTGGGTCTCCTCAGGAGAATGGTGTTGGCCTGCAAGTTACTCTCTGCACGATGTCTCGGCGTTGGTTCTAGACTCACAGGCGGAGGACCTCTTAGGGACCCCCTCACTCTGTCCTCCACTCCTCCTGATGCTGTCATGCTCAGGGCAAAGTGGCACCCAGAGAATGACCATAAAAGGGCACGAGGACTCTTTCAGGGGTGGTGGGAATGTTCTAAATTTGGATTTGGTGATGGTTGCACAACTTTGCACATTTCCTAAAAATCATTTAACTCTACACTTAAAATGAGGGAACTTTATGGTATTTTATAAAAACAAAGCTGTTAAAAAAAAGTTTTAGCTGGAACCTGGCTACCTGGAGCTGGTCACACATGTGTTCAGTGACTGCTTGACGGGGTGTGGTTGCTGGGAGCAGAGAAAGTATTTCCTGACAAAAATATTTCCCCACCGGCTCTAATGAAGGGCCTGAGGTTTTTAAGCAGCCACTCTGAATTTTGGTCCTGAGAGTTCGGGTTAAAATGCAAATGTCCTCTGAGGAAGGAAAGAAATTAAACCAACGGTGTGTAGGAATTTGTCCTTTCTTCGCAGGCTGGGTGGAGGGGGCCCCATCGGAACACCCAGGGTAGAGGTTGCACCGTCCTGTATTCCCCTGCAGAGGGCAGCACCGGACCGCCCAGAGCGGGGCCAGCTAGCTCGGCTTTCTAAGTTGTCAGCTCCAAATTACTGGGAAGCTTCAAGCTATTTCAATAAAAATCCCAAGGGAGTTTGTTGTTGTTGTTGTTGTTGTTGTTGTTGTTGTTGTTTGACCATGACTATTAATTCTAAAGTTCTGAGAAAGATAATGTCTGAGAATGGTTAGGAAAAGTCTAAAAAAAGAAGAATGGGGATGAGACATGCTCCTAGTAAATTTTAAAAAACCCAAAACACTTGCTAAAAGGCTTCAATCATTAAAACAGTGTGGTTCTAGTCCAGGTATTGACATAGGGATCATGGGACAACAGTCAGAAACAGACCTGGACCCCCACAGAAACATGGGTTTTGACGAAGGAGTTGTTTAAAAGATGACCAACCTAAAAATTAAAAAGTTACTTCTCACCAAATACAATATTAAATTCCATGTGGATTAAAACCTAAACATAAAAATAAATCTATCATAGAATGTTACTGAGCTTTAAAAAGGAAGGACATTCTGACACAGGTCATGGATGAAACTTGAAGACACTGTGCTAGCTGAAATAAGCCAGTCATAAGAGCCAAATACTGGATGATTCCACTTTCATGAGGGACCTAGCGTAGGCAAATTCATAGAGGCAGAAAGTAGAATGGTGGGTGCCGGAGCTGAAGCAAGCGGGGAGTGAGTATCAGTTACTGTGTGAAGGGTACGGAGTTTCAGTTTTGTGAGAGGAAAAGAGTTCTCGGGAGGATGATGGTAATGGTTACGCAACAGTGTGAATGGACTTACTGCCACTGAACTGTACACATAAAGGTGGTTACAATGGTTAAAGTACATGTTGTGTACATTGTACCACAATAAAAGTAAATAAATAAATAACAAAATCTACAAACAAAAATATTAAGGTACTGGAAGAGAATACAAGAGTGTATTCTTATATTCTTGGTTGTGGAGAAAGACTTCCTCCACATATAAAACCATAAAGAAAAAAGTGAAAAAATGTTGTTACATGAAAATAAACTAAACTAAAACTTCTACATAACAAAATAAGATAAATTAATTTCAAAGAAAGACAACATACTTGGAAAATATTGGCAAAAAACAGGGCATCAAAGGACTGATATTTATAATATAACAAAGCTCTTTCACAGCAATAAAAAAATTTAAATTATGCAACTGAAAAGTGAACAATTCTGAAAAGAAATAAAAATGGCCAATAGACATGAAAAGATGCTCAAGTTTACTAGTAATTAAGGACATTGAAATTACTGTAAATTAACATTGTTTACTTCTCATATTGGCAAAACTTAGTAAGACTAACAACTTCCTGTGTTGCTGAAAATGGGGGGGATTAGCACTCAATTACTGGATATCTGTATATAGTATATATATAGTATGTATGTATATATTATATGTAGCATTTTTAACATTTTTATTGATTTTAGAGAGAGAGAAAGAAAAAGAGAGGAACATTGATTTGTTGTTTCACTTATTTATGCTTTCATTGGTTGACTTTTGTATGTGCCCTGACTGTGGATCAAACCCACAACCTTGGTATATCAGGATGATGCTCTTATCCACTGAGCTACTCTACCAGGGCCGTTATATGTAGTACGTTTACACTATACTAGCTGCACAGCCTTCTTGGTGTGGGGAATTGGGCAGCCTCTCTCAAAATCAGCATGCACAGTTTTTAAAAAGATTTTATTTATTTAGTTTTTAAAGATTTATTTATTTTTAGAGAAGGGAAGGGAAGGAGAAAGAGAGGGAGAGAAACATCAGTGTCCAGTTGCACCTCATGCACCCCTGCTGGGGACCTGGCCTGCAACCTAGGCATGTGCCCTACATGGGGAATCGAACCGGTGACCCTTCGGTTCACAGGCCAGCACTCAGTCCACTGAGCCACACCAGTTAGGGCAGCATGCATGTTTTTTTGACCCAGTAGTTCCATTTCTGGGAGATTATCACAGGCATATCAGCACACATCTGCACACAGTAATATGCATACCAGGAGGTTTACTGGCACTTCACCCTCAGGTGAAGAACTACCACCAGTTTTCAGTAGAGTCATGGTCACATCCATGCCCTTTGTCCATGCTACCAAAAATACCTCTCAGAGGTAAAAAGCCTGAGGACGAACTATGCGTACTGACAGGAGAGACAATTCCATCCCATTTTATGAAACACACACATACACACACCTGCGTGTTTGTGCACATGTGTCTGAAAATGCTCAGCAGAAATTTTGGAAAGATACTTGCCAAGTGGTTAACAATGGTTACTTCTGAGGATAGGATTGGGGTTGTGGGTGGGGGAGGATTTAAGAGACTTTCACTCTATTTGGGTTAATTAGAGCACAGCCTGTGGAGTTGGATGACCAGGTTTCAAATCCCAGCTCCATTATTTACTAGCTGTGGACCACGGGCAAGTTACTTATCTCTCATCACCTTTGTTCTCTTTAACAGATAGTAATTAGAGCAGTGCCTGGCACATAATGCACTCTGTTATTGTTAGCGTTGAACATAAAAATAAAGACTATTGCTTTTGTAATTTTAGAAACAATAAAAAAATAAGAAGGTAAAGGAGTTCAAAGCTCTCCCAACCAGAAGACACCATAGTTGGTATTTCAATGACTATCATTGTAAATCTTTGTGTGCAAGAACACACCATGCACACACAATTTTACATTATGGACATCACAAGGGAATAAAATCTAATGGACAGCCTTTCATGTTTATTAAATTCATATTATTTTAAAGGCCCTTTAGTATTCTATTGCAGGAATGGACCATATTGATATGAATAATCCTCACTTGGTCGATATTTATTTAGGTTATTTCTAATTATTCTTTATTATAAACAAAGATGGTTTGAATATCCTTAGCCCCTGCCCAATAATTTCCTTAGGATAAACTCTTAAGAGGTGAAATTGTTATGTCTGCACATTTCTAAGTATATGACATACATTTTCAAACTGTTCTCCAGAAATCTTGCCAATATACTCTTCCCAATGTCTGGGAGACCTCACACTTCCCTGAAGTCTCCCAATGTCTAATACTATCATTCTTTTTCACCTTTGTTTAGTTGGTAATTGAAAAATCATATTATATTTGTGTTCTTTTGGTTACTAGTGGGATTGAACATCCTTTCCTTTGCCAGATTCCCTCTTTACACAATTGTGTGAGTACTTTGCATTATCAATGTTTAACATCCTAATTGAATACCTTTATTTGAGATCAGTTAACCAAGGTGCCTGGCAGGCCCTTGGGGGCTTGAATGGAGCCAGGATGGGAGGTCTGGTTAGAGGAAGCCTGGGAGGTGAAGACCTGAAACATGCAGCCTGGAGCAGACACCACAGATCCTTGCCTTGGAGACTCATCCAAGTGTCACTGACTTTTTTAAGTGGAAAGATCTATTTAGGGGAACATCACTTAAATTATGGTACATCCAAATATGGATGTCAGCAATACAAAATTTTTCTAAGAAGTTGTATTAACATAAGGGTTTGCAAGGAAGAGATGACAGGACAAGTCATCCCTTGACCAAATGTTTTGGTCAAGAGGATGCTCACCTTTTCCCTGAGAGTCTTTCTTCTATTCAGCAATCACTTTGTCCTTTCCACCACCACCCCCAAAATACACAAAATAAATTATACTGTTAGCTTGTCACTGAAGACCCTGTTGCTACTCCACAGCCTTGCTCCTCCCCACCCACTCACCCAAAGATGATGTGTCCGAGTGCAGGGGCCACTTGAACTGATTTCTCTCTACACTGTCTCCTAAACATCCTGGGGAACATCCTCGGGCAGCTCTCCCCATGACATCCCATTCTTAGCTTTCTGCCTGCACAAATGCACCTCCACCCAGAAGGAGGTGGGAGAGCATGCCTCCTCTTTGAAATATCCTCTGTTAATTCCAGGTATCAAGGACAGTCGGTCCTCTCAGCCTCCCAGGACTTCAACTATTTACACTGTGTTAGGCCCATGCAAAAATTAGCTCTGTATACAAATAGCCAAAGGCTCCAACCCACCTGGGCTGCCTGCAGAAAAACAAAGCTACCTATTCCTGGGTTCAGGGTAATGCCAGAACTAGATTTCTGCTACTCGCATCCCTAACTGGATTTCCAAAAATTCACTTGACAACTTCAAAAGTACTTGACAACTTCACTAGGAACACCTCTCCCATCCTCCTTGCAGCTATTTCAGGAATCAAGATGAAACCACGAGCCTGTGACCTGGAACTTAATTTTGTGTTTTTAATGGCTACGGCTAGAA